ATTGTGCACATGTACCCTAGAACTTAAAGTATTGAAAGAAAAAAAAAAAAAGAGTGAACTCTTGCAGAACACACACGGTTACTGGGCAGCTTGAGGAGCCGGCAAAGAAGACCAAGAAATAGCTATCAGATGAAGAATAAGAACTAGAATAGAGTCATGTTCCAGAAACCCAGGAAGAGCCATCAAGAAGGGAGAGGTGAGCAGTGTGAAATGTTGCAGATATAACAAAAAAAGGGGAGCAGGCAGACTGGCCCTCCTTTATAGAGCTGCAAATCCCAACATTTTGGGAGGCTGAGGTGGCCAGATCGCTTGAGCCCGGGAGTTCCAGACCAGCCTGAGCAACAGCGTAAAACCTGATCTCTACAATACATATATACATACATACAAACTAGCTGGGAGTGGATGGCACACACCTGTAGTCTCAGTTATCCAGGAGGTGGAGGGAGGATCACCTGAGCCCCGGAGGTTGAGGCTGCAGTGAGCCATGATCATGCCACTCCAGCCTGGGTGACAGAGTAAGACCCTGTCTGGAAAAACAAACAAACAAACAAACAAACAAACAAACAAACAAAATGAATGCGGGGTGTCTCTTGCAGTTGACATTTGGCAGGACATTTGTGGAGAGAGCAGTTTAAATGAAACAGGGATGGGGCCAATTCCAGATTGCCCCAGATTAGGGAGTAGATGGGAGGAGAGCAAGAGACAACCACTGCCCAGAAGGCACAGAGAAGGGCTGAAAACAGATAGCGTGGTAGCAAACAGATAGAAGTGGTAGCTGAGGGCAGGGAAGGGAGGACCATAACTTTTTAAAAGATAGAAAAGGTGGCCAGGCGCAGTGGCTCAGTTTACGGACAGTTTACGGACCCTTGGTCAGGAGCTTGAGAAGATGGGCTAATGTGTAAGAGCCGCAAAAAGAGCTGCCAAGTTCAAGAGGGGGATGAACAGTTTACGGACCCTAGTCGGATGGTGAGCCTTGGGAGTGTCCTGATGTGATGTCACAGTTGTGTTTTGTGAAACGTAACGCAAATGGTCCCACACCTGGGGGACTTGAGGGAGAGTCTTCACACCAGGGTGGGAGGACCCGAAGACTGAAGGAGATGGAATTTGAAACTCCCTGTCTAAAGAAAGAAAGTGGAACTTGTGGAATAGTAAACAAAATCCTTGCAGGTGCTCCCGTTTTCATTTCCTTTGCATATCCTGGCTCAGTCATCTTCCTGCACCCTTCCAGATGTTGCCATTCCCAGGCAGAGAGCAGCAGGGGTGGGAACCGGAAAGTCCCTGTTGTGAAGCGTCTTGGGTGGATACACCGGCTCCTGTTCCGCCATCTGCTGCTCACGGAAGGAGATGCCTGCCGGAAGCAGAAGGAGGGGCTGGGGGTCTGGAAGGCTGAGCTTGAGTAGCAGGAACATTAGGGATGCTAAGACCCCTAGGGAGGTCTTGGTGGCTGGTGTCTCTGAGGGCCATCAGCTGGTGTCTCTTTGGCTGAAGCAGCCCAGGCAGGGATTGGGAAGGGTTGGGAGTGTGGACTCCAGAACCAGCCTGCCGAGGGCGAAACTCCAGTGCTGCCACTTACCATTCAAAGCTACAGGACCCGGGCGAGTGATTTAAAGCCTCTGTGACTCAGTTTCCCCAAGTGATTTAAAGCCTCTGTGACTCAGTTTCCCCATCTATAAAATGTGGATCATAATTGCTGCTTTCTCATAGGGATGTTTTTGTGAGAATTAAATGAATTGAGAGGTGGGGACCCCAAACACCCAGTAAAGGTGGGTTATGATCCTTTAACTCATGGCTGAGTGCCTGCTACTGGGAATTCAGCTTGGGGTGTCTGAGTCAGAGGGGCCTGGCACTGAACCCTAGCCCTCCACCCAGACCACTCAGTACTCCCTTAAGATCCTAATGGGTGTGGAGTGTGCCTGCCCTTCCTTCCTTACCTTCCCTTCCATCTCTTTCTTTTTCTTTTCTTTTCTTTTCTTTTCTTTCTTTCTTTCTTTCTTTCTTTCTTTCTTTCTTTCTTTCTTTCTTTCTTTCTTTCTTTCTTTCTTTCTTTCTTTCTTTCTTTCTTTCCTTCCTTCCTTCCTTCCCCTTCCCCTTCCCCTTCCCTTTGCCCTTCCCCCTCCCCTCCCCTTCCCTTCCCTTCCCTTCCTTTCCCTTCTCTTCCCTTCCCTTCCCGTCCCTCTTTCTTTCTTTTCCTTCCTTCCTGAGGCAGGGATCTCAGTATGTTGCCCTGGCTGGTCTCAAACTCCTAAGCTCAAGCAATCCTCATGCCTTTGCCTGGCCTACGCTTTCATTTCTGATACAGGCTAAGTGAAGACCTTAGCTTAGTCTGAGAGCCAAACGGGCCTGCCTAAAGTCAGAGTGGGGTGGACTCTCCCACCTGGTCACAGTCACGCTGGCCCCAGGCAGGGGCTGGCCTAGGGTGGAGTAATGCAGAATAGATGCTGTCTGCAGGAAGCTCAATGCCTAAGAGGAAAGGCATTAATATAAATATGTTATGTATTCATGTTTTATGTATAAATTTAACGGCCGGGCGCAGTGACTCACGCCTGTAATCCCAGCACTTTGGGAGGCCGAGGCAGGCGGATCACGAGGTCAAGAGAATGAGACCATCCTGGCCAACACGATGAAACCCCATTTCTACTAAAAATTACAAAAATTAGCTGGGCATGGTGGCGGGCACCTGTAATCACAGCTACTCGGGAGGCTGAGGCAGGAGAATTGCTTGAACCTGGGAGACGGGGGTTGCAGTGAGCTGAGATCATGCCACTGCACTCCAGCCTGGTGACAGAGCGAGACTACATCTCAAAAAAATTAAAATAAATAAATAAAATAAATAAATAAATTTAACAGTTATATATAATATATTTTTATAAGCTATATATTATATTTATAATATATTAAATATTTTATTAATATGAATATAGTTTATATTAGATTTATAATATTTATTTTTCATTGTATGGTTCTTCTCAAATGTATTAATCCAGTGAGTCATTCCACCTCTCCTAGGGCCCAGCCAGCAAAGGGACAGAGCCTCAGCAGTTGTTGAGGGGAGGGCAGACTCAAGGAGGAAAAGGGAAATGGGGAGCAAGCCTTTCCCTAACATTCAGCTACTCCATGTCTCTTATGCCTATTCTACAAACACTTTTATGCCACACTTGGGGCAGGGCATTGCAATCAGTATAATGGTTCGGCAATGGACTTTGGAGCTGGACTACCCAGGTTTTGAATCTGAACTTCGCTACTTCGCAGTTCTGTGCTAAGTCCACACCTGCCTCCAGATTCTCATCTGAACAATGAGGAGGCTATCACCATATCCCCCTCAGGGGCTGGTCATGAAGATTAAATGAGTGGTCTTTATATGAATGTTTTACAGATAGACTCTATAAGTGTTGGTTATTACCTTTGCTATTAAATGAAAGGCCTTGAGGGCTTTTTTGTTTGTTTTGTTTTTTGTTTTTTGAGATAGGGTCTCACTCTGTTGCTCAGGCTGGAATATAGTGGCGAGGTCTTGACTCACTGCAACCTTGACTTCCTGGGCTCAAGTGATCCTCCCACCTCAGTCTCCCAAGAAGCAGGGACCACAGGCATGTACCACCACACCTGGCTAATTGTGTTTATTTATTTTTTGTAGAGATGGGGATGTCTCACTATGTTGCCCAGGCTGGTCTCGAACTCCTGGGCTCAAGTGATCCTCCTGCTTTAGCCTCCCAAAGTGCTGGGATTACAGGCATGAGCCACCACACCTGGCCCATGAGGCTCGCATCAGCCTCTCTTTTGAAGAGGGAAAAAGCAAAGTTCCAGCTCTCCAGGAAGAAAAAGGACCTCATGCCACCTTAAGTAAAGGAATTTAAATGACATGTCTGTGCCTCCATGGACAGCGGACAGCTGAGCTTCTCCAGGGCTGGAACCCAGCAGGCAGAAACAGAGGCTCCTGGGGCTGTGTGGTTTCCCATCTCTGGTCTCTGCATCTCTCTCTGAATCTTCTTCTTTTGTGTATTGATGGGGGAACTGCTCTATGCTAGGTATGGAGCCAAGTGCTGGGTAGAGAGAGTGAATAATAAAATCTCTGCCCTGCAGGGACTGAACAAGCCAATGAGCAAGAGAGACAATATGGAGAATCACATAAAACTCATCCGCGTTGCAGCGTGGATCAGGATTTTCTTCCTTGTTAAGGCTGAACGATGTTCCATGGCATGTATATAACATTTTATTTGTCGCGTCATCCGTTGATGGGTACTTGGGTGGCTTCCGCCTTCGGGCTATTGTGAATCACGGTGCTATGAACATGGGTGTACATTTAACCTTTTCCTTTTACAAGCGAAAAAAAAGTATGGTTAAGGAAAGTGGACTAAAAAGAGGCATAATAGAAGGATCTAACCTAGTAGGGGGAGAGAGGGAAGGTTTTCCCTTGAGGAAGGTCTATTTTGGCTGGAGCCCAAAGGATGAGAAGTTAGCTGGGTAAAAGGTAAGTGAAGAATAGTTTTGGCCACACGTAAGAGCCTCGAGGCAAAAAGAAGCTGAGATTGTTCCAGAAATGGAAAGGGAACAGTGTGACCGGGGCACAGAGATCCATAGAGGGGCATGGGGGGGATCCCTGGGGTGGGCAGCACCCAGATTGGGGGGCCATGCGGGACTCATTACAAATGGGCTGTTTTCTAAGAGCTGTGGTAGACAACTGAAGCCCTCTAAGCAGAAAAGTGGAATGTCTAAATATAGAGTTAAAAAAAAAAGTTGCTCCGGCCACAGTGGAGGAATGAATTGGAAGCTGGAAGGAGGTGTGGGGCAGGAGCAAATGCAGGAAGACCAGTGAGGCACCATGGGAGTTGCCCAGGCAAGAGATACTGGTAGGATGGGTGGCAGTGAAGATGACTGAAATTGATCCATCAAAGAAACATTAAGGAGACAGATTTAATAAATTTAATGATTGATTGGCTCTCAGGAGTAAGGGAGAAAGAGGTCTCTGGTTGACTCCCAGGTCTTTGAGCTGAGCAAGTGAGTAGGTGTTGGTATTACCTGCTGTGATAGGAAACAGTTAAGGAGACATGGACTGTAGGTGCATAGAAATTATTCACTCGGTTTTGGATATCACAAAGTTGAGATCCCAAATGACATGTGAGGTTACGGTGTTGCTGGGTAGACAGCATTGGACATGTGGCTTTCAGAAAAGAGGTCTTGTGTGACATGAGATACAGCTGGAAAGGTAGACTGGGCCATGTTTAAGATAATAATAGCACGCCTGTAATTCCAGCACTTTAGGAGGCCAAGGTGGGCAGTTGCTTGAGCTCAGTAGTTCAAGACCAGCCTGGGGCAACATGCAAAATCCCCATCTCTACAAAAAATACCAAAATTAGCCAGGCATGGTGGTGTGCTCCTGTAGTCCCAGCTACCTGAGAGGCTGAGGCGGGAGGATTGCTTGAGCCCAGGAGTGGAGGTTGCAGTGGGCTGAGATAGCACCACTGCACATTAGCCTGGGCAACAGAACAAGACCCTATTGCAAAAAGAAGGAAGGAAGGAAGGAAAGGGAAGGGAAGGGAAGGGGAGGGGAGGGAAGGGAGAGATAACAATAGCTGACATTCACCAAATCATCAATATGTGAGAGATATTATCATTTTTCATTTATAGATGAGGATGTTGAAACATGGAGAGGCTGTGAAATTTACCCAAAGTCAAACAACTCATAAGTGGCAGTGCTAGGAATATAAACCCAGACAGACTGATTATTATGTTTCCTGTTGAACCATTCTGTGATCCTGGAATGCTAGAAGAGCAGGTCTGCCCAGCTTAACCTTTTCCTTTTACAAGTGAAAAAAAAAAAAATCATCAAGGATGAGTTACTTGCCCAAGATCACCCCAGCTATTAATAGTTACGGCAGACGTGAGGCTATAATCCAAGTCTTCTGACTTCTACCATACATTTAATTTCACGTCTTTTAGACTTCTTTTCCCAGATTCATTGTTTTTAGAGATGGAGTCTTGCTCTGTTGTCCAGGTTGGAGTACAGTGACAAGGTCATAGCTCACGGCAGATGTGAACTCCTGAGCTTGAGTGATCCTCCTGCCTGCCTTCTGAGTACCTGGGACTACACATGTGAGCCACCATGCCTTGTGCAGATATTATTACATCTGTAAATTTTGCTTTTCTCTATTTTCTAAATTTTCAGTAGGGGACACGTATAATATTTATAGTGGGGAAAAAGAGACTTGCGAAAGCAGAGACATCAATATTAATATTAGAATTCATCTGACTTTGGTCTAAAGGAGGCATGTGGGGTGTCACGGGGGGAGGTCAGAAGACGGGATGGTATTGCCGTATTTGTCTTTGATAATTTCTAGCAAGTGTTTCTGGGAAATTTCTACCATTGCAGGAACTCCATTCCTTAGGATGGAAAGGAGGAAACATCTCTTATTGTAGGGTAGCACATGGAGGAGGTGACCAGGAGGTCTGTCTTCGGTCAAATAATTCTCCATGAAATCCCTAAAACCCACTCTCCTCCCCACTCCTCCCTTCCTCACCTACTCACTGGCCCACCTTGCCTGGAAATGATGGAGGTAGAGGGAGAAGAACAGAGTTCCAGGCTTGTGGGAACAAGACATCCTTTTACTGTCAAGCAAAGCCAGTTGATTTAGATGGAGAGAGGTGCTCTAAGCAGTATTTACATTTTCAAACAAAGATGCAAAAGAATGTAAGCATAAGAAGGAGCAAGCTTATCAAACCTGAATACACTTCTTCAGACTGTTCTCCCTCTAGCAGATGTCTTGGACCAAAGTAAAACAATGTAGATTCAAAAAATCAGTTTGATATAGTTATTTATCTTGAAAACTATTGAGATTGCTCCTTTTTGCCCTTTTTTCACCTACCTTGTCCAATTCATCAAGCTGTCTTCCACTTGTTATTCAAATAGGATATATTTAGTTTATTTATATCCCAAGTCATTCTACAAAAAAAAAAAAAAGTTGTTGTGGCTTACCAATAGATAAAAGTCCAGATAGTAAAAGCCAATTGTATAGGAATCAAAATAGGAAAAGAGTGGAGAAAATATTAGAAATCAAATGTTTATTCCAAGGGAGCCTGATGGCAGGTCTGAAGGGATTTGATGGTCAAGATGAAGAAAGAAACATGATACACATCTCTCTTGAGCAGAGAAACATTCTGAGTTTTTTTTTTTTTTTGAAACGGAGTCTCACTCTGTCGCCCGGGCTGCAGTACAGTGGCCGGATCTCAGCTCACTGCAAGCTCCGCCTCCCAGGTTTACGTCATTCTCCTGCCTCAGCCTCCCAAGTAGCTGGGACTACAGGCGCCCGCCACCTCGCCCGGCTAGTTTTTTGTATTTTTTTAGTAGAGACGGGGTTTCACTGTGTTAGCCAGGATGGTCTCGATCTCCTGGCCTCGTGATCCGCCCGTCTCGGCCTCCCAAAGTGCTGGGATTACAGGCTTGAGCCACCACGCCCGGCCACATTCTGAGTTTTTTTTAAGGAAAATTAAGTTTTTCTTGGTACTAAACTTTGAAAGAAATTTCTCCTATTGTACATGGTAGAGAGATAGAATGGATAATTCTTTGACAACAGTGTTTGGATCTCATTGGTATCGAATCACAATTTTTTTTCAAAGAGAAATTCACACAACTGATTCTTGTTTCTTGCGATCTCGGCTCACTGCAACCTCCGCCTCCCAAGTTCAAGCGATTCTCCCACCTCAGCCTTCCCAGTAGTTGGGATTACGGCCACTGTGCCCAGTTAATTTTTTTGTATTTTTAGTACAGACAGGGTTTCACCATGTTGGCCAGGCTAGTCTCGAACTCCTGACCTCAAGTGATCTGCCTGCCTTGGCCTCCCTAAGGGCTGGGATTACAGGCGTGAGCTACAGCACCCAGTACAATTAATTCTTATAATGATTTTAGATAATAGTGGGAAACTGTAACACTGAACTTTAGCCCAGAGATGCTGATTCACAGTGGAGATTTGATCAGTTCCTGAAAGCACACTGGCTTACGCTTAGATTGGCAAGAACTTTTGGAAGCAAATCCTATTTTCTAACGTGTTAGTCATTCTTTCCATTTGCATCTTTGTTTGAAAATGTAAACAGTGTGTCATCAATGTTGTTATCTAAATCATTTTAATTTTTAACAGGAGGCAGTTTTGGGTGAATCCTGTGACATGCTTCTATAGACCTATCTCTACGCCTGTGATGATGATTAATAGGAGGAATTGGGATTATGGTCATTCAGACACAAATCACTTCACTTAGCTCTCATCTGGTACATTTATTTATTGTTGTGTCTCTGTGTCTCTTTTGTTTTCTGTTTTTTTGTTTGTTTTTTGTTTTTTGTTTTTTTTTTGAGACAGAGTCTCGCTCTGTCGCCCAGGCTGGAGTGCAGTGGTGTGATCTCGGCTCACTGCAACCTCCACCTCCCGGGTTCACGCCATTCTCCTGCCTCAGCCTCCAGAGTAGCTGGGACTACAGGCACCCGCCACCACGCCCGGCTAATTTGGTTTTTGTATTTTTAGTAGAGACGAGTTTCACCGTGTTAGCCAGAATGGTCTCTATTTCCTGACCTCGTCATCCACCCGCCTTGGCCTCTTAAAAAGTGCTGGGATTACAGGCGTGAGCCACGGTGCCCGGCCATTGTGTCTCTTTTCACAAGTGAGTCGACAAAGCATTTAGGAGATGCATCAAATAAAATGATAAAGTATAAATTAAAAATCAGGACAAAAAAAAAAAAAACACAACAAATTAAATATGGAGTCAAGACCAGGGTGGATATAGGGTGAGGTTGGAGAGAATGAAGATATAAAGGCAATAAACTTCTACTATTGCTTCAAGTTGGCTGCAAATTGACTTTGGGCTTTCTAGAGGGAAGGGGGCAAAGTTCACTTCTTCCCCTCTGGTCTGAAAATGGTGAAGCCCTGTCTCTACTAAAAATACAAATATTAGCCGGGTGTGGTGGCATGCGTCTGTAATCCCAGCTTCTCAGAGGCTGAGGGAGGAGAATCACTGGAACCTGGGAGGCAGAGGTTGCAGTGAGCCAAGATTGCGCCACTGCTCTCCGGTCTGAGCAACAGATTAAGACTCCATCCCAAAAACAAACAAACAAACAAACAAGAAAAACAGAAAAGTCTCATTGAAACGTAACTCTATTATTCTTCTAGTCTGTAGCCTGTTACCATCATGAAAAACTAAGTTGCTCTTTTTGACCCAGCAATAGCCCCCAGCGTCTTTCCCTTCTGTGTTGGTTCCTGAAGAAAAGGGGTTTAATTGGCTCACGGTTCTGCAGGCTGTAATGGAAGCATGGTGCCAGAATCCCCTGCAATTCTGGAGAGACCTTAGGGAGCTTTCACTCATGGCTGAAGGCCAAGCAGGAGCAGATATGTCACATGGTGAGAGAGGGAGCAAGAGAGAGAAAGGGGAGGTTCTAGACGCTTTTAAACAACCAGATCTCATGTGAAGTAACTGAAGGAGAACTCCCTTATCACCAAGGGGATGGTGCTAAGTCATTCTTGAGAAATCTGCCCCCATGATCCAATATCTGCCACCATGTCTACCTCCAACGTTGGGGATCACGTTTCAGCATGAGATTTGGAGGGGACACACATCCACACCGTATCAACTTCCATTTCTAAGAGCTCTTGGGGGCATCTTTGAAGTGCTCTGTGCTTCTGTTCCATATTGGAACAGAACATTCTGCTTCTGTTTCTACCATGGGCTTTCACTGCCCGCTCAGAGTTCACTTCCCTCATAACATTGCTCTCTTGTGGCTTTGCCTCAGCATGGGCCTGATTCCACCCTTTTCAAATTTGTCCAGCTCTACCAACTGTCTCAACTGGCTGTTTCCAAGAATGATCATGTCGTTGATTGGTCCAGGTCATCTTTTTTTTTTTTTCTTTTGCAGGGTCTCTCTCCGTTATCCAGGTTGGAATGCAGTGGTGCATTCACAGCCCATTGCAGCCTCGACCTGCTGAATTCAAGTGATCCTCCCACCTCATCCTCCTGAGTAGCTGAGATTACAGGCATGCACCACCACCACTGGCTAATTTTTAAAATTTTTTTGCAGAGACGGAGTCTAACTGCGTTGCCCAGGCTCAGGTCATCCTTTTATACCTGGCCGTGTTACAGGTTGATTGCCAGTCTGTGAGTCAAGTCCCATGGTCCAAAATGGAAGCTAAGGGATTGGGTGGGAACGTGAAGGGAGCTGTGGATGAAACCAGTTTCTTTGCAATGAAGTTTAAGTATGGCAAGACATCATCTGTTCATCTGGGAGAGGGATTGAGCAGGAGTGTGGGAAAACCAGTTGCCCTCTTGCCTCTATTGCAAATAAACACTTTTGTCTTTCTGAAAAACTTGTTTTCTAAGTTGCTTAAGTCATTCTATTTGGAAGTATGTCAGAGGCTTTGGGGAGCTCTGCACTAAAAAATATCCCCCCTTTTATTTTGAGACAGAGTTTTGCTCTTGTTGCCCAGGCTAGAGTGCAATGGCATGCTCGCGGCTCACTCCGCCTCCCAGGTTCAAGCGATTCTCCTGCCTCAGCCTCCCCAGTAGCTGGGATTACAGGCGCCTGCCACCATGTCCAGCTAATTTTTGTATTTTTAGTAGAGACAGGGTTTCACTATGTTGCCCAGGCTGGTCTCAAACTCCCAACCTCAGGTGATCCATCTGCCTCGGCCTCCCGAAGTGTTGGGATTACAGGCGTGAGCCACCGTGTCCAGCAATAATCCTTTTTAAATGTATTAAACACATAGACTTCTGAATGTGTTTGGCTATAATACACCCCACCTGTACCTCCATTTCTTATATTTCTTTATATCAGCTGTTAGAAGCTAACATGCCATTGCTTTTACATCTTGCTACTCAGATTGAAGTTGGCTTGGGCATCACCTGGCAGCCTGTCAGAAGTGCAGAATCTCAGACTCACCCCAGAACTACTGCATCAGAAACTGTACTTTATTTATTAAAATTTTAAAAAGTTTTAATTATTTTAAAAATAATTACATTATTAATGTAATTTAATAAATTTATAATTTTTATAAATTTAAATTTACTTAATAAATTTATAAATTTACTTAATTTAATTTAATAAATTTATAAATTCAAATTAATACATTTAATTAATTAAATTAGAAATTTACACCTTATACAAAAATTAACTCAAGATGGATTAGATACTTAAATGTAAAACCCAAAACCATAAAAACCCGAGAAGAAAACCTAGGCAATACCACTCAAGACATAGGCAAGGGCAAAGACTTCATGACTAAAATGTCAAAAGAAATTGCAACAAAAGCCAAAATTGACAAATGAGGTGTAATTAAACTAGAGAGCTCTACACAGCAAAATAAACTATCAAAATAAACTATCATAACAGGCAACCTATAGAATGGGAGAAAATTTTTGCAATTTACCCATCTGACAAAGGTCTAAAATCCAGAATTTACAAGGAACTTAAACAAATGTACAAGAAAAAAACAACCCCATCGAAAAGTGGGCAAAGGGTATGAATAGACACTTCTCAAAAGAAGACGTTTATGTGGCCAACAAACATGAAAAAAAGCTCATCATCACTGATCATCAGAGAAATGAAAATCAAAACCACAGTGAGATACCATCTCATGCCAGTCAGAATGGCAGTTATTAAAAAGTCAGGAAACAATAGATGCTGATGAGGCTGTGGAGAAACAGGAACGCTGTTGGTGGGACTGTAAATTAGTTCAACCATTGTGGAAGACAGTATGGCAATTCCTCAAGGATCTAGAACCAGAAATACCATTTAACCCAGCAATACGATTACTGGGTATATACCCAAAGACCCAAAGGAACATAAATCATTCTGCTATAAAGACATATGCACACGTACGTTCATTGCAGCACTATTTATAATAACAAAGACATGGAACCAACCCAAATGCCCATCAATGTTAGACCGGATAAAGAAAATGTGGCACATATATACCATAGAATATTATGCAGCAATAAAAGTAATGAGATCATGTCCTTTGCAGGGACATGGATGAAGCTGAAAGCCAGTATCCTCAGCAAACTAACACAGGAATAGAAAACCAAATGCCACATGTTCTCACTTATAAGTGGGAGTTGAACACTGAGAGCACATGGACACAGAGAGGTAAACATCACACACCGGGGCCTGTTGGGGAGTGGGGGGTGAGGGGAGGGAACTCAGAGGATGGATCAATAGGTGCATGGCACAGTATACCTGTGTAAAAAGCCTGCATGGTCTGCACATGTGTCCTGTTTTTTTGTTTTTGTTTTTGTTTTTTAGAAGAAGGAAAAAAAATAGAGACAAGGTGTTCATCTGACTTGAGACCAGCCATGTTGCCCAGGCTGGTCTCAAACTCATGAGCTCAAGCAGTCCTCCCAGCTTAGCCTCCCAAAGTGCTGGGATTACAGGCGTGAGCCACCATGTTCAGCCTGTTTATTTTTGAGAGAAGTTCTTGCTCTGTCACCGAGGCTGGAGTGCAGTGGCTCGATCATTGCTCACTGCATACTCAAGCTCCTGGGTACAAGCTATCTTCTCACCTCAACCTCCTGAGTAGCTAGGACTGCAGGCACACACCACAGCATCCGGCTCCTATTTTTATTTTTTTTGTAGAAATGGAGGTCTCACTTTGTTGCCCAGGCTGATCTTGAACTCCTGGCCTCAAGAAATCCTTCTGCCTCAGCCTCCCAAAATGCTGGGATTACATGCATGAGTCACTGCACCTAGCCTATTTATTTATTTTTGAGACAGAGTCTTGCTCTGTTGCCCAGGCTACAGTGCCGTGGTGTGATCACAGCTTACTGCAACCTCAAACTCCCGGTCACAAGAGATCTTCTCACCTCAGCCTACTGAATAGCTAGGACTACAGATGCACGCCACAGCATGCAACTCATATTTTTATTTTATTTTTTTAGAAATGGAGGTCTCCCTTTGTTGCCCAGGCTGATCTTGAATTTCTAGGCTCAAGCGATCCTCCTGCCTCAGCATCAGAAAGCGCTGGGATTGCAGGTGTGAGCCACTGTGCCCAGCCAGAATCTGCACTTTTAACAAGATCCTCAGGAGACGAATATTTGCATTAAATGTTGAGAAACATTGATCTTCAGCAAACTTTGGGAAACACTGAACACGTCTGATCAGTGAATGTGGCTCTGAGAAATAATGTGCCTTATCTAAGTTCCCTAATCAATCAGTAGATCTGGGATTAGAATCCAAGTGTCACAAGTCCTAGTCATATTAACTTTCCAGCACACCATGGGTGTCTCCCTCATCTAGGAAACAAGGAGGCCTGGTTTGATAATTGTTAGAGAAGGAAATTAGCATGTGATGAGGGTAGCCACATGAGTTATCATCCAAACATAGTCACTTTTTTTGTTTTATTTTGTGTTAGTTATAAAATAATTTTCTTTACTAGAGACAGGGTCTCACTATGTTGCTCAGGCTAGTCTCAAACACCTGGGCTCAAGCGATCCACCTGTCTTGACCTCCTAAAGTGCTGGGATTACAGGCATGAGCCACTGCACCCGGCCTAAACATAGTCACTTTTGAGAGTGCAAGAGGGCACCATTAGCTATTTCAGGACAATAAATGCAACCTGACATAAGCTGTCACTCTATATACCTAAAGATATTTGTAATTTACAGGGCCCCCTCATATTTGTTAACTAAACTGCATATATATCTGATGACAAAATAATTTTAAAGTTCTAACTTTTATTTATGTATTTATATTTAGTCATTTATTTTTGAGACAGGATCTCACTCTGTCGCCCAGGCTGGAGTTCACTGGCACGATTTTGGCTCACCATGGTCTCTGCCTCCCAGGCTCAAGTGAGTCTCCTGCCTTAGCCTCCCAAGTAGCTGAAATTACAGGCATGTGCCACTACTGCCCAGCTAATTTTTGTATTTTCAGTAGAGATGGGTTTCACCATGTTGGCTAGGCTGGTCTTGACCGCAAATGATCCACCTGCTTCAGCCTCCCAAGGTGCTGAGATTACAGGCTTGAGCCACCGTGCCCAACCTAAAGTTCTAACTTTCAGAAAAAACCCTGATTCTCAAGGAAAAATAATACATGCATCTCATTATAATAAAAAAAAAAAACTATCTAACCTCATTAAGAATAAAAGAAGCTGGGCGCGGTGGCTCAAGCCTATAATCCCAGCACTTTGGGAGGCCAAAGCGGGTGGATCACAAGGTCAGGAGATCGAGACCGTCCTGGCTAACAGCATGAAACCCCGTCTCTACTAAAAATACAAAAATTAGCTGGGCCTGTAGTCCCAGCTACTTGGGAGGCTGAGGCAGAAGAATGCCATGAACCCGGGAGGTGGAGCTTGCAGTGAGCTGAGATCATGCCACTGCGCTCTAGCCTGGGCTGCAAAGCCAGACTCCATTTCAAAAAAAAAAGAGACAGAAAGCCCAAATTAGCAAAATAAGAGAATATGGGAACCAACCACAGAAACACACGAAGTTGAAATGATTTTGAAATTGCTTTGCTGAACCGATTCAACTAAATTTGAAAACCTGGTTTCCACATTGTCATTCACTGTGGCCGTGGCCAAGCTAGGGCTGGAAGCTACATCTCAGGGCTTTCTGCCTAGTCATTTCCCTGGGAGTCAACCAGACTTCAGAGTCTCATTTCTGAAACTTTTATTCCAGTACTCTAACCTGGAGCTAAGATGTCTGGGTAGCTTGGTGGAAACGTGGCTCTTCCATAAGAATGAGACGCAGATGATCTGAAGACATATCTTCCGAGCATACCTCTTATGACAAATGCCCACATGCCTCCATCTGACATCAGCTTTGTCTGCCATGCTCAGGCCACCTGGCTGTAGAAATAAAAGATGGGTACGTCACTGATCCTGAATGTTAAACCTGGAAAATCTCCTCCTGCCGGAGATGTAGCTAGCATTCCATATTTAAACTATCTTTAAAGATTTTAATGTTGATAATACTAACAACAACTGGTATTTATTGAGTCTTTACTCTTTTTTTTTTTTTTTTTTTTTTGAGACGGAGTCTCGCTCTGCCGCCCAGGCTGGAGTGCAGTGGCCGGATCTCAGCTCACTGCAGGCTCCGCCTCCCGGGTTCACGCAATTCTCCTGCCTCAGCCTCCCCAGTATCTGGGACTACAGGCGCCCGCCACCTCGCCCGGCTAGTTTTTTGTATTTTTTAGTAGAGACGGGGTTTCACCGTGTCAGCCAGGATGGTCTCGATCTCCTGACCTCGTGATCCGCCCGCCTCGGCCTCCCAAAGTGCTGGGATTACAGGCTTGAGCCACCGCGCCCGGCCTACTCTTTTGTCCCCTGTCATTGCACCATCCTCATTTTACAGAAATCAAAGCACAGAGGGGTTAAGTAACTTGCCCAAAGTCACACAGAGGGTAAGTAACAGAGTTGATATTTTACCCCAAGTAATCTGATTCCAGAGATTATACTTTACCTCCAGTTATGACTCCAACAGTTTTCATATTATTTTGAGAACTCTGAGAATTATTTTCAGAATTTTATTTATATATATATATAAATATATATATATAAGTATATCAGACTATGTATATAATGGAACCACTACGCCTAGTAAATTTTTTTTTTGTTTGTTTTTAGAGTCCCAAGAGACATAAGAGAGAAACTATTGGTTATTGGACATTCACCAAGTGTCAGTCATAGTTCTAAGTGCTTGTACATGAATCAGCTCAGTAATCTTAAAACCAAAACCAGAACCAAACAAACCGCTGCCCGCCCCCTGGGGAGGGTGCAGTGATTCTCACTCATCGGATGAGACAAAGGAAGCCCAGAGAGCTTCCATAACTTGCTTGAGATCCTATAGCTAGATGGCAAATCCAGGGCTCAGAGCCAGCCCATCTGGCCCGTGAGCAGCATTCTTCGCCACCAAGCACACCCCACTGCCAGTCCTTAACCCAGATATTTATTCAGTCCTCACAGCACATGAGTCATTTCCTAACCACTTGCTTTTCTCGTGTTAGCTGGGGAAACTGATGCTGACAAAGTTTAAACATTAGGTTGGTGCAAAAGTAATTGTGGCTTGCCATTTTAATGTGGCTTGCCATTTTAATGGCAAAAACCGAATAATTTGCTTAGTGCCATTCAATGATTTGGGGGCTGGCTAGCCAGGGAGCCAAAGCGTGTTACATCTGTTTTCACTTCCCCAGTCCTTAGTGGTGCAGTCTAAGGCTCGCCCTCTGCCACAGATCCTCCTCTCCCTCCTCGCCACAGCTCCTCCTCCTCCTCCTCCACCCTCTCTCCCTCCTCCTCCTCTCCCTCCTCCTTCTCCCCGGCCCCTCCACCCCCGCCCCGGGGCCCTGCCCTGCGGGTCTCACCTGCCGCTCGGCGGGGTCCCGGCGGGGGCCGGACAGTGCCCTCTGGCGGCAGGTGGGCGCCCGCGCAGCACATGCTAATAAGCCCGCGGCGCCGCTCGCGGATTGGCTGGCGCGGATTCCAGCTGCTTTCCAAGTTGGAGGCGCCTAGTTAGGGTCGGGGGGCCCGGCCCACGCCCTCCCCGCCCAGCCGCCTCCCCGTCGACGCCCAGGGCTAGAGCGAGCCAGGCTGCCTTTCGAACTTGGGGGGCTTCTCCTCTTGTCTCCCACTGGTGCTCTGGCTGTGAATCCATCCAGGGGCCAGAATGAAAATCCGATACCAAGGCCGCCAGTACAGGCCGAGGATGGCATTTCTCCAAAAGGTAACCCTGGTCCCTTACCTGGGCCCTGGGAGGCGGGCGGGGACCACATCTGGGAACCCTACGAGGACACGTGGGGCAGGAGTGGAGGGCACCCCTTTGGGTCGTTTTGTGCAGCTCAATTTCATTAAGTGACTGGTGTGAGTTGTGATAAAGACAATTCCATTTAGGTTTGCAAGCTGCGTCCTGGGCCTGGAGACCGAGACAGTGATCCACCGACTGCAGTGCAGGCGGCCCGCCCCAGCTCTGAGTCACATAAGGTAACCCAGACAGCCACCTACGAATTTAAAGCTCCTATAAGTTGCCCTTTCTGGATCTAAAGTGTGATATTTGAAAGTTAAAAACGTATCTTACACACATAGATCTTAAAAACGTATCTTACACCACAACCTACTCACAGATGCAAAGGCAGTGGTCATGGTCTTCCATTGCTTGGGGTCCTGGGGCTAGGTTTGAGGTTGAATGTCAGGGTTTCCTTTGCTATAACCTCATTCTGCACCACGTGCTCTCTGTCAGCCAGGCAGCCAATGTGGACTTGGAGGCTGGCATCTGCTGAGCACTGCTCGAGGTACCAGGAACACAGTGATGAGCAAAATGAGCATGGCTCCTGCCCTCAAAGTCCCTTGAGGCTAAGTGGCCCACCCAAGGGCAGCTTAACAGTGCCCAGCCTTGGGGGATGTGGGCTGATGGAGGACTGGGCCCACCACAAGGTACCTTAGGGTGCCCCCAATCAAATATATCTACTTTTTTTTTTTTTTTTTGAAACAGAGTCTCACTCTGTCACCCAGGCTGGAGTGCAGTGGTGCGATCTTGGCTCACTGCAACCTCCACCTCCCAGGTTCAAGCGATTCTCCTGCCTCAGCCTCCTGAGTAGCCGGGATTACAGGTGTGCACCACCACACCTGGCTAATTTTTGTATTTTTAGTAGGGCGGGGTTTCACTATGTTGGCCAGGCTGATCTCAAACTCCTGACCTCAAGTGATCCGCCCCCGTCGGCCTCCCAAAGTGCTAGGATTACAGGCATGAGTCACTGCACCTGGCCAAATATATCTACCTTCTAGAAGAGCGAAGCTCCCTCAGCCAGCCAATGGCAGAGCTGCAGGTGAATGACATCAGACGGTGTCGACATCCCACCCAGCATCAGGGACTTACACGGGAAGTGCCTGAGCCTCTCTGCTCAGGGGGTTTTCTCTGGTCATAGGAACATGACTGCCACACATGTGGCCAGAGTGCCAGGGAGTGGATGCCCCCTGGATCAACCTGCAACTGATAGCGAAAAATAGTTGCTTGATAAAAAGTACCAAGCTTCCTCCCCGCCCCCCGGGGGGGCTCTTCTGAGGGTGTTCTACGTTGTTTCTCCCAAAGGCTCCCAGTAGGGCAGAATTCAGGTGGCCCACAGGGGTTGCTGCTCATGAATGAGCCCTGTGTTGCCCACCTTACTTGCCCCGTCCAACCTCCCCAGGCACCAGCCGCTTTCGGGGATCAATCTTCCCACCCATGCGAAAGGGTAGTTCAATTATTATCTCCATTTTACAGGTAAGGAAACTGAGGCTGGTAAGGACTAACACTGGAAGAACTGTTGACATGATACAGAAAAACTGGTCTCACTACAATTGTAGAAACATTATTTATTTTATTATTATTATTACTATTATTATTATTTGAGGCAAAGTCTGACTCTGTTGCCCAGGCTAGAGTGCAGTGGCGTGATTTTGGCTCACTGCAGCCTTGACCTCCTGGGCTCCAGTGATTCTCCCTTCTCAGCCTCCCAAGTAACTGGGACTACAGGCAGGCACAACCATGCCTGGCTCATTTTTCTTTTTTTTTTTTTTGTATTTTTAATAGAGATGGGATTTTGCCATGTTGCCCAGGCTGGCCTCAAACTCCTGAACTCATGTGATCTGCCTGCCTCAGCCTCCCAAAGTGCTGCGATTACAGGCATGAGTCACTGTGCCCAGCCAGGAGAAACATAAAATTAAGACTGTGGTGAGAGGGAGCTTCCGATTCTACATGAAGAGTTGGGGTAGTCATCTATGAAGAGAGAGCCTTGAAGCTTGGAGGATCCTGAGGCTTCCGCTGGGCAGAGGAAGGAAGACCGTGGCTGCCGAAGCACAGCGATGTATGAGTCTGGCGTGTCTGAGGGCACGCTGATTGCTGTTCGCTGAGCATAGAGTACAAGGGGAGTGTGAGGTGGGACAGGCAGGCAGGGATGGAAAGGAAAGGTCTATGCCTTACAAAGGTGGTGCTATTTTTCCCCAAAGAGCAGGTGAGTGAAGTGGCCAGATTTACATTCAAACGAGGACTCTAATAGAAGCCAGAGGAATGGATGGGATATATTTCTTTCCCTGAGCCGAGAGAATTCACTCAGTGTCTTTCTGTGCTGTCTGCAACTCCAGTCACCTAGGAAATGACAGCTTTTCATGGGGTCAGAGGGAGTGGTGCTGGTCAGAAGGCCCTTCTCCTGTGATTGTCGAGGCTTTCACACCTATCTCTCCTGTGATGTCCCAGCCTCAATGCAGCCTTGTGTAGGTATGTCTACCAGCCAAGCTGACGCCAGCCAGCCAAGCTGATGCCCACCTCTGATGCCTGGACTTGTTTAAAATGTGGTGGAGGCTGGGCATGGTGGATCATGCCTATAATTCCAGCACTTTGGAAGGCTGAGGCAGGAGGATGGCTAGTGCCCAGCAGTTTGAGGCCAGCCTGGGCAACAGAATGAGACACTGTCTCTACAAAAAAAAAAAAATTAGCCAGGTTTGGTGGTGCACACCCATAGTCCCAGTTACTCGAGAAGCTGAGGTTGGAGGATCGCTTGAGTCTAGGAGGTCCCGGCTGCAGTGAGCTGTGATTGCACCATTGCACTCCAGTCTGGGTGAAATAGTGAAACACTGTCTCAAAAATACATACGTAGATTTTTTTTTTTTTTTAATGTGTAGAAGGAGATGAAGAATTCCCCTGTCCAGCGGCTCTGCCTGGGGGTGTTAGCTGGTGACACATAGTGAACTAAACAGCAGGGCTGGGCAACCTGCTGTGGCCTCCAGCACATGCAGGCCTCTTGTTTCAGCCTAGCCTCTCATTTCCTGTGTTCCCACAGCCCTGACCACCTGCGGCGAGGTGGAAAAAATTTCCATCTGGACTTCTAAAATGCTTTCCTATTTGACTTAAGGAAAACTCGGGGATGTGAGGGTGTTCTTGCAGCAGATGGGGTTCCAGGAAGAGAGTTGAACTTAGATGAGGGCTACAGGAAGGAAGGGTCTTAATAAGGCTTGGGCAGAATTTAGAATTGCTTGTGTCATTGGTTCATTCCTCCATGTAACAGACATTTATTGGGCATCTACTATGTGTCAGGTATAGTTAGGCACTGTAATAACACAGACTTCAGGACCTTCAGGACACAGTCCCTGTTCTCAAGTGACTTGTAGTCTAGTGGTAGGAGATGGCCACGTGTATCAACTCAGTGGCATGGCGCAGGTGCCATGCAGACAGCTGGAGGGTAAAGAAGGTGCTTAAGTGTGGGCCTTCACTTTATCCTGGGTGGAATGTCAAGAAAGCGTTCTGAAAGATATGGTGGTGATTTCTCTGGGTCTTGAGGATGTGAGGCTGTTCTTAGGACAGATGGGGTGCCAGGAAGAGAGTTGGGACAAAGGTAGAAGAGGAACGTGAACTTGGCTTGGATCTATTGTGTGTCAGCTGTTGGTCAGAGCCAGATGGTGATGTCCAGTAGGCAATTATGTGTCTGGAGGCAGGGCCTGAAAAACCTGGGAGACACATTAAACGGGTCATTGAGAATGTAATAGAGATGAGAGACGTTTCTGAGGCTGGGTACAGTTAACAGGGCATATTAGACTTGGGCATTTGGACTGTGGCTGGCAGTGCTATAGTTGGGATGTGAGTTGCCTACTAAAAAAAAGAGCACAATGGTTTGGGGTCACTATTTACATCTCTGCACAGCAAACCCATAATTACGATTGTCTTCCAGGAAGCCTGCTCTGGATTACAGGAAAGTTCTAGTCCCCGAAATCTTGTAGAGCGTGACGCCCACTTACTATGGGAAGAAATCGTGACTATGGGATGGATGGAATATTGAGACTATCACTTTCTGATACTTTTAGTGACTGTCTGAGTTCTTTAAAATGTTCAATGTTATACCTCACTCAGCTGGAATCTGAGAGGGGCAATGCTAGGCCTGTGATGGGATCAGAGAGAGTCCAATGATGACGCTTTTTTTTTTTTTTTTTTTTTTTCCCGATGGAGTGAAGCGGTGCGATCTCGGCTCACTGCAACCTCCGCCCCTGGGTTCAAGCGATTCTCCTGCCTCAGCCTCCTGAGTAGCTGAGATTACAGGTGACTGCCACCTCACTTGGCTAATTTTTATATTATTAGTAGAGATGGGGTTTTGCCATGTTGGCCAGGCTGGTCTCGAATGCCTGACCTCAGGTGATCCACTCGCTTTGGCCTCCCAAAGTGCTACGATTATAGATGTGAGCCACTGTGCCCGGCCCGGTGATGGCCCTTTTGTGCAGCATTTGTTTGAGGCCTCAGGAAATAGTTGTGGAGAAGTCAGGATTCTGGGAGAACTGGGCAGCTGTGGTCTGGTCAACGGTGGTGGGGTGGGGTGGGGAGGTGAAGGTATGGGGAAGGACCGGGGGTCTTCAATGTGTCTCACGAAAGGAGATAGCTCAGAAGGGATGCACGCTGGACAGAAGAAGGGGTGGCCTGGAGAAAGGCCACAGCTGCACCCTTCCTGGGGAGCTTGAATATCAAGGTGGGTTTTCTCCCGTCGTGAGTGGACACCAAGATCACCTCTTGAAGACCATTCCGGACCCAAGGAGTCAGTCATATTTTTTGTAGTTTAGATTTATTACAATTTAAAAAGGAATCCCTTAAGTGAATTTGCATGGGAAATGGTTGGAGGAAGATTATTCTGTCCCCTCACGGGAAGACTCCTAAAAATGTTCACGACACAGACTCCCCTCTTCCCAGCAAATCCCTCCTTTGTGTAAAGAGACACCATCGCTGGAAAGCCCCTCTTGATTGTGCTTTTAGAAATAACTCCTGTTAATCTTCTTTGAGGGGTAGTTGCAAATTCTTCAGAGATTTTTTTTTTTTTTAAACACAAAGGGAAAGAAATGGAGTGACTGTCATTTTTATCAGAGAAGTTTAAATTTCTAACTGGCAAAGTAGGTACAACTCCACCATCCGCCATTTAGCTGCCTCTGCCTCACTACTAAGGAGATGGTTATTTCACCCGATGAAGTACTGTATTTATAATCTGAAAAGTTATGACTGAAAGGATGAGGATGCTTTAAGCCCTGTCATCAGAAACTAGCATAACAGAGAGAGAGAGAGAGAGAGTGTGTGTGTGTGTGTGTGTGTGTGCATATGTGTGTGTGTGTGTGTTGGGGAGGAGGGGACCGTTGACTGCTGCTGAAAAGAATCACTCCAGCAGCCTTGGCTCCTCAGTCCCCTGGCCATCCCAGGAAGAGCAGAACCACCTCTCAGCATCCCCCAATACAGTCGGGGGTTGTGCCTTTGCTCCCCTCTCTGCTGTTGGCCTCATGGCTGACCCAGTGGCCAGAAACACTGCCAAGCCCTGACACTGCAGAAAGCCAAGGACTGTGGCTCCAAATCAAGCTGAAATGAATAGCTTTTGTTCCAAAACAATTCTGTGAGCCAAGAAAGTGTCCATGCAGATAAAGCTTGCAGTCAGTCTTGCACAAGGAGCCCCAGCCGTGTTTTCTATGCTGTCTGAGCGGCTGGCGCTGTGCCCGGAATGCTGAGTGGTAAGGCTCTCCTCAGAGCCTTCCCTGTGCACCTGATCTTGGTCCATTTCTTGAGATTGTGGTTCAGCTGCAAATGCTTGTTTAGCAACAGAGATTGAAATAGGAAATCCCTTTCCTTAGTATTGGCATAAGACATTGTTCCATACTCTTTCCCTCCTTGGGAAGATTGGAGCCTTCTAGCTTCAGGAGCAGGCTGGCTGAGAGGGAGGGGGCAATTAGGATTTTTCTGATTCAGCTCTCTTCTGATATATCCAGGTTAGTCTACAGCTCCTTCCTATCTGCCTGGCCATATCATGGGCTCCTTCCCAAGTTCACTTTCTCTAGGAAGCATTTATTGACCATCTGTCTTAGTCCATTTTCTGTTGCTATAACAGAGTGTTTAAGATGGGCTAATTTAAAAAGAAAAGAAGCTTATTTGGCTCACGGTTATGGAGGCTGGGAAGACCAAGGGCATGGTGACAGCTTCTGGTAAGAATTTCTTTTTTCTTTGAGACGGAGTCTCGCTCTGTCACCCAGGTGTGCAGTGGCCCGATTTTGGCTCACTGCAAGCTCCGCCTACCGGGTTCACGCCATTGTCCTGCCTCAGCCTCCCTAGCAGCTGGGACTACAGGCACCTGCCACCATGCCTGGCTAATTTTTTGTATTTTTAGTAGAGATGGGGTTTCACCGTGTTAGCCAGGATGGTCTCGATCTCCTGACCTCGTGATCCACCCGCCTCGGCCTCCCAAAGTGCTGGGATTAGAGGCGTGAGCCACTGCGCCCGGCCCCTGGTAAGGGATTCCATACTGCATTATAACACGGCAGAAATGTGGAAGGGCAAGTGAGTGCATGCCAAAGAGACCTCAGGGCACTAACTCAGTTCCTTGGAAATGATCTCACTCGCAAACAGCATTAATCCATTTATGAGGCTCTACCCTTATTACCTAATTCCCTTTTAAAAGGCCCCACCTCTCAATACTGTTACATTAGCGGCTAAGTTTCTAACACATGGACTTTTGGGGGACACACTCAAACCCATAGACGCAGCCTGTGATCACAGTCCCTTTTCAGCGCCTGTGCAATTAGGATCTGTATGATTCACATGAGACACACTTTTATCCTGTGCTGTGCATTGATCATCTCTGTCTGTATACTTTATCACCCCAGCTCCCAGAGGACGACGATTATGCTATTTATTTGTAGCAGTCATACCACTGGATCCATAAAAAGTATTCAATTAAATATCTCTCTTTGCATTAGGTTGTCTAGCTGAGTTTTTCTTATGTGTCTTTACTGACTGGTCCCTAGAAGGCATATTGTGACAACGATAACTTCTATCACTAACACTCTTACCCTATTGTCACTGTTCCTATATTGCCCGTAGGGATTATACAACTATTTCACACTCATTATTTTCATTTGATCCCAACCACCCATTTAAATAGAGGGAGCAGATATTAGATGTTTTTTTCCCTAGTGGATGAAAATACTAAGGTTCAGAGAGGTCAATTAACTGGCCCAGTGTCACACAGCTGACATGATCTATTTTTCAATTTCACTGAGGCTAGAAAAACTAGTGATCTCATTCAGAGGACGGCTACGTGCATATATGTTAAAAAGACTTTGTGAACTGAGGGCTCATACAATGCTGCATAGAATTATGATTAATGGCAGAAAAATAGCTACTGCAAGATTGAAACAGTTCAATGAAGACAGAGCAGTATGTATGGATGGCTCTGGATTTTATTGATAAGAGCCAAAGAGTTGATTACATTTGAGGGGCCCTCCAGGTGCAGATGTGTAGCAGGCAGCGGGAGGTGACTCTGAGGAGGGTGGCAAGGACAGAGTAAATGGGTGAGAAATGACCTTCATTCTTACTGTAGGTCTCCTGTATACCCTGATATTTCCTGTCTCCATTCCTTTGCTTCTCTTGTACCCTCATCTTGGGATGCCTCTCCTCACACCAGAGCTTGAGGCTGTATTTCCAGTTGTCTCCTACACATTTCTGTGTATGTGTTCCAGAGCACAGCACAAACAAGTTTTTCTCTTTCAAAACAGGCTCCTTTCTTTTGTGTTTCCTATTTTAGATACTGACTACCACTATTGGCTTGGCAGAGAGGTAGGAAATCTTGGAATCATATTCTCTTGCCTTCACCAAATTGTATATACTATCAACTAAGTTTCAAGCACACAAACTTTTGGGGGTCACATTCAAACCACAGGACCATCCCATGATTGCTGTCCCTTTTGAGCTCCTGTGCAATTAGGATTGCAGTGTCTAAGTACACGAGACTCATCTATAGTGCTTCTAGTGACCATGTTCTCTTACTTTTCCTCATTGCCTCTGCCTGAACTGCGCTCTCTCCTGCATGATTATTTCCCGCTGATACAGAAAGGTTTACTCCTCCTTTTTCTCTGCTTGGCCATACCATGGGTTCCAAGTTCACTTCCTCTAGGAAGTATTTCTTTTTTTTTTTTTTTTTTTTTTTTGAGACGGAGTCTCGCTCTGTCGCCCAGGCTGGAGTGCAGTGGCCAGATCTCAGCTGACTGCAAGCTCCGCCTCCCGGGTTTATGCCATTCTCCTGCCTCAACCTCCCGAGTAGCTGGGACTACAGGCGCCCGCCACCTCGCCTGGCTAGTTTTTTGTATTTTTTTTTAGTAGAGACGGGGTTTCACCATGTTAGCCAGGATGGTCTCGATCTCCTGACCTCGTGATTCGCCCGTCTCGGCCTCCCAAAGTGCTGGGATTACAGGCTTGAGCCACCACGCCCGGCCAGGAAGTATTTCTTGATCATCTGTCTTAGTCCATTTTCTGTTGCTTCAGCAGAATACTTGAGACTGGGTAATTTACGAGGAAAAGAAGCTTATTTGGCTCACAATTATGGAGGCTGGGAAGTCCAAGGGCATGGCTATAACCAGCTCATTGGTCTTTCATCCCTGCATGCCCTCCTTTTTTGCATCTATAATTTTGCACATCTAAAACCATCTATAATTTTGCAGAACAAGGCAAACTCTGCTGCCTCTCCATGAGAGCTTCCATTTGTCTATGAATGGCATTGAAGACCTGTTGTGTCCTGGATCTATTTGCTCTCCCGTGCATACCATGCAGTTTTACCCTTTCGTGCCTTTGCACGTGCTTGTTCCTCAGCCTGAAATGCTCCTTTTCTCTGGAGCAGAAGCAGCAACTTCTTGCCAAATAGCCCATGTTCTCTGAGTTAGAATGAATGGGCCATGAGCAGAAGTGTTGTGTGGGTTTTCAGGCCGAAGCCTTGAAGGGCAAGTACCAATTCTCCATGTTTTTCTCTCTTCCCCTGCACAGTGATGGAGCACATGTAATGGAATGAGAAAGTCTAAATGGTAGCAGCCTAGAGAGCTGAGTCAAGACATCAAGGGAGGGCCCTGGACACTGCCCAACTTGACTTAGCATTTTCTTTTCTTTTCTTTTCTTTTTTTTGAGACAGAGTCTTGCTCTGTTGCCCAGGCTGGAGTGCAGTGGCACGATCTCGGCTCACTACAAGCTCCGCCTTCCAGGTTCACGCCATTCTCCTGCCTCAGCCTCCCAAGTAGCTGGGACTACAGGCGCCTGCCACCACGCCCGGCTAATTTTATGTATTTTTAGTAGAGACGGGGTTTCACCATGTTAGCCAGGATGGTCTCGATCTCCAGACCTCATGATACACCTGCTTCGGCCTCCCAAAGTGCTGAGATTACAGGCGTGAGCCACCACGCCTGGCCGACTTATCATTTTCTTAAGAGAGAGAAACCCTTGTTGGGTTAAACCTGTGTTACCACAGCATAATCTAAATTATCCTGAGTAATGCATTCTTATTTTCTGCCAGTTAAAAATCTTTATCTTTTAAGTATCAGCTTAAATACTCTTTCTTTAAAAGCCTTCCAGAACCAACCCACCCCTAGCCAGAACTGATGTCTTTTCTTTGTGCTTTCACAGCCTGTGTGACTTAAATCTGTTTGACACTTAATGCCTAGTATTGTGGTCGGTCAGGTAGAGTTAGTGACACCATGAGTAAGAGTATGAATTCCAAAGCCAGACTGACTGGTTCACATATCAGCTCTGTCATTTACCAGCAGTGGGACTTTCGATGAGTTACTTAGACTTCCAAAACTTGGGTTCACATTTGTCCTTCCAGAACCTACCAGAGTGTCTGACACAATAATTATATTAAATATGTCAATAATGATGTTAAACAATACCTCCCTCTTTTTTGTCTTGCAGGTTGAACCATCAGTATAAAACATGCAGAACCAAAGATGGCGACCAAAATCCAAAGCCAGAGGGTCCTGGAAATCAGAGGGTCTTACAGCATAACAGGTAGTACAGGCCGTGGCTCAGGCTAGGCATGGAACAGACTGCAGTTCTCTCCTACAAATCAATTTAGACTGGACGGACAGTACTCTGAAGGAGGAAAGAAAAATGAATCTGATGTTACTTCTTGAAACCACATTTTCTGAAGTCACCATTTTTACGTATCTATCAACTCATCATTTTTATGTATATATCAATATGATTTTATGATCTTTTTTTTTCCTACTAATGTGATGAATTCCCTTGATTGATTTTAGAATATTAAATCACTTTTGTATTCCTGGAATAAATCCTAGATGGATGCTTGATTTTTTCTAATTCCTTAGCAAAAATGCTAATATTTTATTTAGGATTTTGCATCTGTATTCACAAGTGAGAATTTTTTTCCTCTCCTGACACCAACCAATTCTCCAACACAGACTGAGTGTCCTACAATTCAATTCAATTCTGACACTAACTACCCAGAGTTAGCATTAGCCTCCACAGATTTAAGGCCTCAGTCGCACAAGATTGTCCTAATCAGACCCCAGTTGCAAGTCCCGGGCCACCCATACTTCTGGGCAACTGGTTATAATTTGGGGGTTCTTATGACCACCTCCCACAGGCTTGGCAATTTGCTAGAATGATTAGTGGAACGCAAGAAAGTGCTTAATTAATATTACTGGTTTATTACAAAGGATACAATTCAGGAAGAGCCAAATGGAAGCAATGCATGGAGCAAGGCAAGGGAGAATGAGCCCAGAGCTTTCCTGCCCTCTTCGGGCACGCCACTCTCCCAGCGCTTTGGTGTGTTCAGCAACCTGGAAGCTCTCTGAACCCCATCATTTAGAGGTTTTATTGGAATTTCATTACATAGGCATGATTTTTTTTTTTCGAGATGGAGTCTTACTCTGTTACCCAGGCTGGAGTGCAGTGGCACCATCTCGGCTCACTGCAACCTGCACCTCCTGGGTTCAAGCGATTCTCCTGCCTCAGCCTCCCGAGTAGTTGAGACTACAGGTGGACACCACCATGCCCAGATAATTGTTGCATCTTTAGTAGAGATGGGGTTTCACCATGTTGGCCAGGCTGGTCTTGAATTCCTGACCTCAAGTGATCCTCCTGCCTTGGCTTCCCAAAGTGCTGGGATTATAGGCAAGAGCTCTACATAGCCATGATTGATTGAATCATTGAACATTGGTGATTACTTCAGTCTCCAGCCCCTTGTCCCTCTCCCCTCCCCAGAAGTCAGTGGGTGGGATAAAAGTTCCAACCCTCTAATCATGCCTAGTTCTCCTTTTTTCTGTTTTTTGTTTTTTTTTTAATTATTTATTTTTCTTGGCATGCAAAATAAGAGCTATTGTCTAGGTCTTTCTGGTGACCCCTTCATCCCGAACTACCTAGAAGCCTCCAGCCACTAGTCATTTCATTAGTATACAAAAGACACTCTTGCCACTGTGGAGATTTCAGGAGTTTTGGGAGCCATGTGCAGGGAACCAGGAACAAAACCTAAATATTTATTTTTTCTCATACCACAATGATTGACGTTGGTCTGTAATTTTTTCTTCTTGTAATATCCTAGTCCAGTTTTTCTATCAGGTTATGGCCACATAAAAGGAGTTGGGAAGTATACTCTGTTTTTCTATTCTTTGGTAGAGTTTGTGCAAGTTTATGCAAGATTGGTATTGTTCTTTTTTTTTTTTAGAGACAGGGTCTCACTCTGTCACCCAGACTGGAGTGGCAGTGATGCCATCACAGCTCATTCACTATAACCTTGAACTCCTGGGCTCAAGCAATCCTCCCACCTAAGTCTCCTAAATACCTGGGACTACAGGTGCATGCTGCCATGCCCTGCTAATTTTTAAATTTTTTTGTAGAGGCGATGCCTCACTATATTGTCCAGGCTGCTCTTGAACTCCTAGACTCAAGTGATTCTCCTACCTCAGCCTCCCAAAGTGCTGGGAGTATAGGTGTGAGCCACCACGCACAGCCCATGATATTATTCTTTAAATATTTGGAAGAATTAACTGATGAAGTCATCTCGGGTTTGGAATTTTCTTTGTGAGCAGCTCTTGAATAGATTCCATTTTATTTATTAGATATTGGCTATTCAGATTTTATTTTTTTATGTGGGCTTTGGAAAGTTGTATTTTTCAAGGAATTTGTCTATTCTATCCAAGTTGTCAATATTTGGGTGTGAAGACAATAATATTCTCTTATCTTTGTTATATTTGTGGGATCTGTACTGATATTCCTTTCTAATATTGAAAATTTGTCTTTCTTGTTTCTGTTGATCAGTATTGTTTGGAGTCTAACAATATAAACAATATTTTCAAATAACCAACTTTTGATTTGGTTGATTTTTCTCCATTGTATATGTGTTTTCTATTTCTTTTCTTTCTTTCCTTTTTTTTTTTTTTTTTTTTTTTGAGATGGAGTCTTGCTCTGTTGCCCAGGCTGGAGTGCAGTGGCATGATCTCGGCTCACTGCAAGCTCTGCCTCCTGGGTTCACGCCATTCTCCAGCCTCAGCTTCCTGAGTAGCTGGGATTATAGGCGCCCGCCACCACGCCCGGCTAGTTTTTGTATTTTTAGTAGAGACGGGGTTTCACCGTGTTAGCCAGGATGGTCTCGATCTCCTGACCTCGTGATCCGCCCGCCTCAGCTTCCAAAAGTGCTGGGATTACAGGTGTGAGCCACTGCACCCGGCAGATTTGTTTTCTATTTCACTGATTTATAATCTTTATTACTTACTTCTATTTTCCTTAGATATAACTGACTGTTCTTTTGTTCTTAAACTAAAAAAAAAATCATTGACTTTCAGCCTTTCCATTTTTCTAATATATAAATTTTTAAGGTTACAAATAGCTCTCTAGTCCCTACATTAGCCGCATCCTATGAGTTTTTAGAAATTATGTCTTTTATGGGGTCACATTCAGTTCAAAATATTTGCTAATATCTGTCTGGATTTCTTCTTTAATCTATGAGTTATTTAGAAATTTCCAGGCCGTGGATATTATCTTTTTATTATTGACTTCTGACTTAATTTCATTCTGGTCAAACAACATTCTCTGAATGATTTCAATGTTTTGAAATTTGTTGAGGCTTTCTTTATTGCCCATCATATGATCAATTTTGATACGTTTCACGTACACTTAAAAAGCAAATTCACACATGCCTGTAATCCCAGCTACTTGGGAGGCTGAGGCATGAGAATTGCTTGAACCTGAGAGGTGGAGGTTGCAGTGAGCCAAGATTGAACCACTGCACTCCAGCCTGGGCAACAAAAGCAACTACTCCATCTTAAATAAATAAATAAATAAATAAATAAATAAATTCTATCATTATGGGTACAGAATTTGATATATATATAACAACTAAGTCAAGTTTGTTAGTTGTGTCATTTAAATCTTCTAGATCCTTACTGCTCTATTTTCTTGTTCTGTAAGTTACTGAGAAATGTATGTTACAGTCTTCCATTATGATTGTGGATTTGTCACTTTCTTCTTTGAGTTGCTTAATTTTTGCTTTATGTATTCTAAAGTTATAAGTCATATAGATTTGTGACTTGATATCTACTAGTTGGATTGACCATTATAATATGTACCTTTTAATTTGTAGTAATGCTTTTTGCTTCAAAATCTTACTTCATACTGCTATAGATATGCCTGGTTTCTTTTGTTAGACTTTTATAGTCTATCTTTCCTTTTCCTTTTTCTTTAATCATCTGTCTCCATGTATTTAAAGTGTCTCTCTTAGAAGTTACATATAGTTAGGTTTTGTGTTTTTTATTCAGTATGATAATCTTAGTTTTTTTTGTTTTGTTTTGTTTTAGACGGAGTCTCGCTCTGTCGCCCAGGCTGGAGTGCAGTGGCGTGATCTTGGCTCACTGCAACATCTGACTCCCTGGTTCAGGTGATTCTCCTGCCTCAGCCTCCCGAGTAACTGGGATTACAGGCACGCACCACCACACCCAGCTAATTTTTGTATTTTTAGTAGAGATGAGGTTTCACTGTGTTGGCTAGGATGGTCTTGATGTCCTGACTTTGTGATCTGCCCACCTGGGCCTCCCAAAGTTCTGGGATTAGAGACATGAGCCACTGTACCTAGCCAATCTTAGTCTTTTTTTTTTGAGTATTTTGTCTATTTACATAATAGTAAAGTAATTATTGATATAAAGTTGTGTTTATTCTTACTATTTGTTTTCTGCTTGACCATCTGTTTTCTGTTGTTTTTCTTCTTTCCTGCAGTCTTTTGGATTAATAAAATATCTTCTATCATTCTACTCTCTACCTCAAACTTGTTAGTTATGCAGTTTTGTTACATGTTCTTTTTCTTTAGCTGTTATCCTAAAGATTAAACAACATGCAATCTTGACTTATTTCTGTGTAATACAAATTATTACTTTTACCAGTTCCCAAAACATTTAAAACTTTAGGAAACTTTAGTTTTATTTATCCCCTTCCTCATTTTGTGTTGTTTAGTTCTACACATATATTTAAATTCCATAAGACATTATAACTATTGGGTTGGCAATAAATATTCATTCATAATTACCTATATATTCATCTATTCTGGTATTTTTTCTCTTTTTTGAGAGACAGGGTCTTGCTCTGTCACCAAGGCTGTACTGGTGTGGTAGCACAATCATGGCTCATTGCAGCCTCAACCTCCTGGGCTCAAGCAGTCTTCCCACCTCGGCCACCTAAGTAGCGGGGACTACAGGCATGTGCCATTATGCCTGGCTAATTTTTAAATTTTTGTAGAGGTGTGGTCTCACTATGTTGCCCAGGCTGGTCTCAAACTCCTGGGCACAAGCAATCCTCCCACTTTGGCATCCCAAAGTTCTGGGATTATAGGTACTCCTGGCCTATATATATACACATATATATACATACACACACACACATACACATACACATTTTAATTGAAATATATATATACACGTTTTAATTGAAATACGGTATTCACTCAGAAAACATGTACAGATCAATACATTTTCACAAACAGAATGTGGTACATATATTTTAAAACATTAAATTCTGTTTAAAGAAGCAAAATTTTGTATTTTAGGAACACATTACTTACTGTTCAAACAGATGGTTTCCTGAGGAAATGTGTATGACTTCACACTGTGGGGCTGTCTTTGTCAGCCCTCCCAGATCGCCCCATCTGTGACTTGATTTTTTTTTCTCCTTGTCAAGGTGTCCTCCTCAATTCAATTCACCTCTGCTTCAGGCCAACCGAGACAGTGTCCTTTTGTCAACCTTCTGGCTTCCTGTGCCCTGAGGGATGGAAGCCTTTCTCCACAACCCCCATCAGCTTCTCTTTCTGCATATTGCTGATCTGGAGACCTGCTGTCATTTGTGGCTGCTCTGAGACATGGCCTGGTCATGGGGATAGAGCCTCCCTTGGCACCATTTGTTAGCTGTGCTTTAGCCTCCTGTGGAGATTACAACTGGAAAGGCTGGAGACACTGATAACTGATTCAGCAACAAGAGCTTGAACTGTATGGAAGGAAAGACTGAATATTACAATTTTAGCAGTCATTACTGGGGAAGCCGGGCAGGAGGATCATTTGAGCCCAGGAGTTCGTGACAGCCTGGGTAACAGCAAGACCCTGTCTTATTAAATTTTAGTAATAATAAACTGAATTATGGACAAAATGAAGTTAACAAATGTTTTTTAGCAGTTACCATTCCTTAAGCGCCTACTGTCAGGTGCTCTGCCAGAAACTTCTATAGAGCATCTCATGAATACTCAAAACAATTCTGTGAAGAAAATATCATTACTATCTGATATGGTTTGGCTGTGTTCCCACCCAAATCTCATCTTGAACTGTCGTTCCCATAATCCTTACGTGTCATGGGAGGGACCCAGTGGGAGGTAATTTAGTCATGGGGGTGGTTACCCTCATGCTGTTCTCATGATAATGGGTGAGTTCTCACGAGATCTGATGGTTTTATATGGGACTTTTCTCCTTTTGCTCTACACTTCTCCTTCCTGCTGCCATGTGAAGAAGGATGTGTTTGCTTCCATTTCCACCATGATTGTAAGTTTCCTGAGACCTCACGAGCCATGTTGAACTGTGAGACAATTAAACCTCTTTCCTTTATAAATTACCCAGTCTTGAGTATGTCTGTGTTAGCAGTGTGAGAATGGATTAATACACTATCCAACTTCAAATAAGGAAGTGGAAGCTCAGGGAAGCAATTTGCCTAAGGTCACACATCTAGTAAGTGCAGAGAGTGTTTGGATCAGATTTAATTCATGCTCTTTGCTTAGGTCCAGTCACGTTTTCTATGCCTATCTCAGCTGCTGACACGTGACTCAGTTGCTCCCATTTTCCTTGGAAAAGCAGGAGCTGGAAAGGACCTTAGAGGTCATCCACATCAATCATCTCATTTCACCGATGAGGAAACTGAGACTTGGACCAGGTCAGTGGTTGTCATTCACACCCATGTGCCATCCATACCCACGTGCCAGTCACTCCAAACTATACACATTTCTCCAAAGGCATCTGGGTGTTCCCACCTCTCTGCTTTTGCTATTTTCCCTCTGCTGGAGGTCCCCTTTCTCCTCATTTCACACTGTTAATGATCTTTTCAGCTTCCAAGGTTCACTCCAAGCATCATTTCTCTCATCATCTCCTGAGTATCTGCAGGCTACACTCAGCAGTTTCTACCGTGCAGAGGAGAGTTACCACAGCACGCCTGAGACTGCTATCCTTGGAAAAGCCTGCTTTCAAGGTTGGCCCTTCTAAGGCTGGCATGTAGGAGCTTGGGTTTCAGGAGAGTTCCTATGATTCCCTGATAAGAGTGGTTCACTGTGCCTGGACTGTTTGTGCAAACAGTGTGGCTTATGTGAAACACCTGCTTTCCTTCTGGGAGTCTGGAATCTTGGTGCATGCTAGGCAGAGGTTGTCTACATGGCCAGCCCCCAGCAAAATCTTTGGGTACTGAGTCTCTAATGAGCTTCCCTGATAATAGACAACATTTCACACTTGTCACAGTGCATTGCTGGAGGAATTAAATGTGTCCTGTGTGATGCCACTGAGAGAGGCTCTTGGAAGCTTGCCCCTGATGGCTTCCAGACTTTGCCCCCATGTGCCTTTTCCCTTTGCTAATTTTGCTTTATATCCTTTCATGGTATAGAATAAAATAAATAGAAAGGGCCATGCATGGAACAAAGATGTTTGTGTGCCAGGGACTGAGAATTATGACTAACCCCAATTCAATAAGCCTGAGGTCCAATAAAAAGGGTGGTAGTGATGGGGGTTAGTCTAAGGCCTGAAGAAAGGGAGGGATGTTAACACTTTAAATACTGATAGTCAAATATGAAGCAGAGACAGGTGGTCGGTGGGATGGAGACCACTATAAACAAAATGTATGGTTTTTGCTATTTGGGAGTAAAAGGTAGCACAATTTCAGGACACTTTATTTATTTATTTATTTAGTTAGTTAGTTTTGAGACAGAGTCTTGCTCTGTCGCCCAGGCTGGAGTGCAGTGGTGTGATCTCGGCTCACTGCAACCTCCACCTCCAGGGTTCAAGCGATTCTCTTGCCTCGGCCTCCTGAGTAGCTGGGGTTACAGGTGCATGCCACCATGCCCGGCTATTTTTTGTACTTTTACTAGAGACAGGGTTTCACCATGTTAGCCAGGCTAGTCTTGAACTCCCGACCATCTCCTTGTTCTGATTCCAAGCTCACTATATGTTTCAATACAATATAAGAATCTAGCCTCCCATGTAGATCTTCCTACAGGAAAGAAACACACTGTTGGCAAATACAATGATCCAGTCTGACGGATAATTATATTTTTTCACTAGAAAGGAATTAACTCACTCTCCAGGTTTACACAACAACTTCTTTTAGTTTGGTTAGCATGTGTCCTCTGGATCCTGCTTACCTCTGTGTCAACTAATGGAACCAGCTTTTTGGCCCTACAGTGAGGCATAGGACACTGGAAGAAGACAGTCCAAGGCATTGTTACCCAGTCATCCCCAGTCAGGTCATGTTTGAAACTCCAACAGTTTAGTAATATACTAGTAAGTCAATTTGTAGCTCTACTTGAAGAAGGTTTGTGCCAAACAAGATAGTTTCAGTAATGAAGCTATGTTGAATGATGTTCAAAACAATTGTTCTAAATTTTACTCTATAATGTCAGAGCAAGGTTCCAATGAATATCAATGCAAATATACAACACATTTAAATGGTTTTTAGTTACATTCTATTTATACAGTTAGAAAATATTGATCATGTCTTATTAAAATAGGTCCATCTAGGAGACCATGAACAAATTTCTAGGTTTGTCACTAACAATCCCTGAATCTACTGAATTTTAGAATTTCCTTGACACAATTCATATTTTTTCCAAATAATAATTTCCAGTTTTATAAATAACTGTATATTGATAGTGTTTGCTCAATAATATTGAGATGTTATTTACTGTTCATGATGTATGCAGGAGGAAGGCCAAGGCCAGGTTTTGTTCATTTCCTTTTCCAGGTGTTATATGGCTTATGGCACTTCACTAATTAGGAATCATTTTCTCGAACGTTCATAAAACGGAAACTATCCTTACCGAAATCCAGTCAGATGATTTCAAAAAAGTAGATCTGAAATGCCTTTTGAGAGCCGAGAGTGCCTTCTGAGCAGTCCTGTGCCCAGGTGAATGATTTATGTCAGCATTTTGCAAAATGTATTCTGGGAAAAACCACATGGGAGGGATATTAATAGAGTGTTACTTTAAAGTTACTGTGGTCAAAATGCTACAGAAACACCAGACTAAACAAAGTTAAGCAAGTTCATTACTGTAGGCCTTCTCTGAGCGATCTAATATTCTATTAACTGTGTTAAGAGACAGGCAGATCCCAAACTTCCTTCTTTCTCATTTTCTCCTCAGGAACACATCATGGTAAATGCTTCTTTATAGGGACTATTTCCCAACACAGTCAGAGAAGGTATATACAAGTGTCAGAGAAGGTATATCAGTTTCACACATGAATAGTTTCCATTTTATGAATGGATAGTTTCCGTCTTTATGAACGTTCAAGAAAATGATTCATAATCAGTGAAGTGCCACAAGCCATATAACTCCTGGAAATGGAAATGAACAAAACCTGGCCTTGGCCTTCCTCCACCATACATCATGAACAGTAAATAACATGTTGAAATTATTGAGCAACTAACACCTGTGGTAAGTGGCTGCCCTGGTACAGAATCCAGGCCAGTATTCTCAAACTAGTAGTCTACACTCATGAGTCCCATTTCTCCTTGTAAGATTTTTTTTTTTTCTTAAGACAGGGCCTCATTCTGTCGCCCACGCTGGAGTGCAGTGGCACGATCTCAACTCACTGCAACCTCCGCCTCCCAGGCTCAAGCCTCAGCCTCCGGAGTAGCTGGGACTACAGGCGTGCACCACCCTGCATGGCCTTTGGTAAAGAGATCTTGATTTTGTCTTCACCCTCCTCTCCCACAGGGAGGACGTTAGGACCCTTTCTACCCCTGTACCTCCAATCCTCCTTCCAAGTGGCATTGTCTGCATAGTTCTTGTACTCCTCTTCCAGGGTCATAGTTCCTTATCTTTTGAACTAATCTTCTTCCCCATATCTGGTCACAATACTAAAGTGCATTTTTTGTTTTGTTTTAGTTACTTGACTGTTTATAAAATTGACAAGTCAGTCGCTCTCCTACATAAGGGAAAAATGGGTCCTAAAAAATATATACATATATATATATATATATCTACAGGTCTCGCTGTGTCACCCAGGCTGGAGTGCAGGGGTGCCACCACGGCTCACTTGCAGCCTCGACCTTCCAGGCTCAAGCGATCCTCCCACCTCAGCCTCCCGAGCAGCTGGGACCACAGGCGCACACCACCACGCCCGGCTAATTTTTGTATTTTTTAGTAGAGACGGGGTCTCGCTATGTTGCCCAGGCTGGTCTCTAACTCTTGAGCTCCAGCGATCCTCCCAACTTGGCTTCCCAGAGTGCTGGGATTACAGGCGTGAGCCAATGCGCCCGGCCTAAATTAAATACTTTTAAGTTGCAGTGTCACCATTATTTTTTTCGAGCCTGTAGGGGTTATATAAAGGAAAGTCCAGAGCTTAGGCATTTGAGGGACCGATCTCGAAGTAGCACTTAGGCGAAAGGAATCCCGGCGCTACGGGCTTCAAGGTGGCCCCTCCGAAAAGCCTTCCACCCTGGCCCCCAATCCCTCGGCGTGCGAGTTCCGTGGAGAAGGCTCCGCCTGCGGCCCCAGAATCTGCATTAGGGGCTCGTGTCCACCCTGCAAGGCCTCCCCTGAGCCCAGAGCAGGGACCTAAGATGCGAGAAACCCTCCAGCAGACAGACGCCCGCGAACTCAGCGCACTCGCGCTGCCTGAAGGAAGCCGGAAGTGGGCCGCCGGCAGAAGCCGACTTCCTGAGTTCGCATTTCCTCTCTAGGAATCCGGAGGTTTCTGCATCTCTATGGTCTGGGCCTCAAGCGGCGGAGCCTGAGGTCTCTGGTGCAAAGGAAAGTGGCCTCGCAGCGAGGAGGGGAAGGAGCATCGGTTCATCTCTTCGTGATCCCTTTCCTACCCCTTCACACTCGTGCGCACCTGGCAGTACCACCAGCAGAGTCTCGGAAATTGCTTTCATCACGATTTAACAAAATGAAGACACAGGAACACACTAGGACACCGCCAAAGTCAGCAAGTCTCTCTAGCATTTTTCCGGTAGTGTATGCACACATGCATTTAAAAATTTAGATGAAGTCTAACATTCATGCAATAACACAGCTGAAATGACTAGTAATAATAATAATAATAACCCAAAAATGTTTGACATTTGAAGTTCCTTTTGAGTTTGAACCCCAGGCTGGGTCTGAATGAGCTGGTCTCATCTCTCAGCACAGACCCTGCCCTCTGGTCCCTAGGGCCGCGGGCAGGAGAGACACACCTGTCCTTCCATGTGCTCCCAGGGCTCCAGCTGGCCCATCTGTTGATTCGAAGGTTCTTGCTAACCAACTTATATAGACTTTCTTTTTTTTTTTTTTTTTTTGAGATGGAGTCTCGCTCTGTCGCCCAGGCTGGAGTGCAGTGGCCGGATCTCAGCTCACTGCAAGCTCCGCCTCCCGGGTTCACGCCATTCTCCTGCCTCAGCCTCCCGAGTAGCTGGGACTACAGGCGTCCGCCACCTCGCCCGGCTAGTTTTTTGTATTTTTTAGTAGAGACGGGGTTTCACCGTGTTAGCCAGGATGGTCTCGATCTCCTGACCTCGTGATCCACCCGTCTCGGCCTCCCAAAGTGCTGGGATTACAGGCTTGAGCCACCGCGCCCGGCCTATAGACTTTCTTATCTGTATTTTCCACTCTAAAAAGGGATAGGGAAAACGATGCAAATACAAATAACTGTAGAATCTAGTAAAATTAGAATTGTCTAAGTTTATAAAACATATGGCATCCAACACAAATAAAGGTGTGGTGAAATTAGTTCATTCTGAGCAGACAGAATGTAAATATATGCCATCCTGTTGAAAAACTACTTGGCATTTTATATCAAAAGCCACCGTGACTCATGGGATCCCATCTGTGAAAATTTATCTCAAGCAAATAATGCAAGAGAAAGGAAAAGCTGTATTTTTGAAGTGATTCTGCAATGGACAACTATTGTTTTTGTTTGCCCAACATTCAGTTTTTCTTTTAATGATTTTAACAGTAGGATTTTTCTGTGGGAAACCTGCTAGCCCTCAATCCACTTCTGGGGTGAGCCCATGACGCAGGTCTGGCCAATGAGAATATCCCAGCATGGCGAGGCAGTAAGACATGAAGTCAGGAGCCAGACTGAAGGCCCCCCAGTCCTGGCTCTGCTGCTTAACAGATGCATGAATGTCAGCTTGTTATTCAGCTTCTCTGACTCTCAGTATACTCATTTGTTGAATGGGCACATTAATAGTCCCCTGCCTCACAGGGTAAAAATTAAATGAATGAAGCAGGTATAATAATGCTCGTTACGTCCTACCATCATCAGTTCCTGCCTCTGTGACTCTGATCAATATTTTCTCTGTCTAGCACACTTTATCACCACCTTTCCTTTCTTTCCTTTTCTGTTTACTTTCCACATGTTGCAATATTATCTACTGCATTATCCTAGACATTTATTTTATATTTTTCTTTCCTACAGGGAATACCCCGAAGGTGGGACTGTGTCTTATTCACCTTTGTACTCTGGGTGGTTAACACTGTTCCCACCCCAGAAATGGTGCTCAATAAAGTCTTCTTGAAGAAAACAGAATAGCCTCGAGTCCAGAGCTGAGAAAGAAGTTGGAACAACTAGTGAAAAGGTAATAAATCCTAGATGATCAACAAAAGGGGAATAGAGGAAACCACATGAATATGAACAATTTTCTTTTTCTTTTTTTTTTTTTTACATTCTTTAGAGGTGATGCAGTGGGACTCACATGAAGCCCCCCCTCCCCTCCCTCCCCCCGAGTACTGGATACAGGCCCCACCTGCCCTGTTTTTGTATTTTATAGAGGGTTTCACTGTTATCAGATGTTCGATCTCCTCTGATCCACCCGTCGCCCCAATCTTTCAGCTTACACACCCCCATGAACAATTTTCTTAAAAAAAACCATAAAAACAAAAAACTTGATTGCTGGGGATTGCAGACTGCCTATCTCCCTATCCCTAGACTGGCTTCCATATGGTGGACAGATGAGTTCTAGGAATAGACTTGTGCCTAAGATTCACTTTCTGAATTACTGCTTCCTTTTTCTGCCTTAGGAATCATCTCTTTCCTTGGAGACTAAAAGGAGAAATTAGCGTTCTCTTCAGATCCAGATCGATCCAATCTACCTTCAAGAAAGACCACCCTGCAAGGCCGGTATTCATATGCAAACATTCAGACATAAAATGCAAAGTGTAGCCGGGCGCGGTGGCTCACGCCTGTAATCCCAGCGCTTTGGGAGGCCGAGGCGGGCGGATCACAAGGTCAGGAGATCGAGACCACGGTGAAACCCCGTCTCTACTAAAAATACAAAAAATTAGCCGGGCGAGGTGGCGGGCGCCTGTAGTCCCAGCTACTCGGGAGGCTGAGGCAGGAGAATGGCGTGAACCTGGGAGGCGGAGCTTGCAGTGAGCCGAGATCGCGCCACTGCACTCCAGCCTGGGCGACAGAGCGAGACTCCGTCTCAAAAAAAAAAAAAAAAAAAAAAAAAAAAAGCAAAGTGTAGAGGAAGCTTAAGATACAGTCAACAAGGCCGGGCATGGTGGCTCACAACTGTAATCCCAGCATTTTGGAAGGCCAAGGCCGGAGGATCCTTTGAGCCCAGGAGTTTGACACCAGCCTGTGCGACATAGCAAGACCCCATCTCAACAAAGATACAGTAAGACACCAGGGAAGGGGCAGGCTTCATTAGGTGCCTGGAGCAGATGTGTCAGGCCGGCCTGGAAACCCTTGAAAACCCTTTCTTTCTTTCTTTCTTTTTTTTTTTTTGAGACGGAGTCTCACTCTGTCCCCCAGGCTGGAGTGCAGTGGCCGGATCTCAGCTCACTGCAAGCTCCGCCTCCCAGGTTCACGCCATTCTCCTGCCTCAGCCTCCCGAGTAGCTGGGACTACAGGCGCCTGCCACCTTGCCCGGCTAGTTTTTTGTATTTTTTAGTAGGGACAGGGTTTAACCGTGTTAGCCAGGATGGTCTCAATCTCCTGACCTCGTGATCCGCCCGTCTCGGCCTCCCAAAGTGCTGGGATTACAGGCTTGAGCCACGAAAACCCTTTCTAATGAGTGATTGCTCATCTTTTGATGGTGATACTGAATGAGTGATACCAGCATCAATTTCTCTGCCGTACAAGACTCTCCTGGAATCCATCTGAGACTCAGAAATTCTCAGAGTTGACAGAGATAGATAGGAGCATAGTTTACCATTGAGTATAGAGTAGATCTCATCTACAACTTTGGACCATGGCCACTGACGCTGGGAACACTCCAAAGACACCCAGTTCCCTGGTCTGTGAGATCATCTGCTTAGTTTAAAGAACAAAATTAGTTGTTAGAAAGTTTTTCCATGAAGTCCTAATTGGTATTAATGTAATGGTGTCCTAATTCAGGTACTGGTAACCCTTAGCAGCCTTCGGTGAGGCAGCCGGAACCTAACAGATAGAGGACTTTTTGACTTAACTAGCTTCTCCTACCACCAGATTCTGCAATTTAGCAAACATTTTCACTTTTTTTTTTTTTTGAGATGGGGTCTCACTCTGTTGCCCAGGGCTGGGAGTGCATTGTCCATTGATCTCGGGCTCACCTGCCAACCTCTACCCTCCCCAGGTTCAAGTGATTCTCCTGCCTCAGCCTCCCAAGTAGCTGGGATTACAGGTGTGTGCCACCACACCCAGCTAATTTTTGTATTTTTAGTAAAGATGGAGTTTCATCATGTTGGCCAGGCTGGTCTCAAACTCCTTACCTCAGGTGATCCGCCTGCTTTGGCCTCCCAAAGTGCTGGGATTATAGGCGTGAGTCACCATGCCTGGCCTAAACATTTTCACTTACAATATTAATTATAATTTGTTAAGAATAATTTGATTTTCTCATAGCAAACAAATGAATTATTAGAAAGTGGAGGCTTTGCCCAGGGGCACGCATGTTGGTAAGCAGCCAAACCAAGACTCAGCCATGGTTTATTTTGTTCCAAATTCTGTGCTCTTTCCATGACTGCAGTGCTCAGCCTCCCTGAACTGGTAGATAACAGTGACCTAAATTCAGTGAAATAAATTCTGGCTGTGTCGGCCAGGCACGGTGGCTCATGCCTGTAATCCCAGCACTTTGGGAGGCCAAGGCGGGCAGATCACTTGGGGTCACAAGTTTGAGGCCAGCCTGGCCAACTTGGTGAAAGCCCAACTCTACTAAACAAACAAATGAACAGAAAACAAAACAAAACAAAAAACCAAAAATCAGCCGGGCATGGTGGCATGAGCCTGTAGTCCCAGCTACTCAGGAGGCTGAGGCAGGAGAATTGCTTGAACTTGGGAGGTGGAGGCTGCAGTGAGCCAAGATTGCACCACTGCACTACAGCCTGGGCAACAGAACGAGACTCCGTCTCAAAATAAATAAATAAATAAATAATAAATTCTGGCTGTGTCTACCTGGGTATGGGATTGATTGATCCATGACTGGGAAATTTTGGACAAGTCTGTTAGAGAGAAGGTGAGGGGCTCTTCTTGAGAGGCTCTTAAGAAGGTAGTAGGCCAGGTGCAGTGGCTTGCGCCTGTAATCTCAGCACTTCGGGAGGTCGAGGTGGGTGGATCACTTGAGCTCAGGAGTTCAAACCTGGGTAACATGGCAAAACTCCATCTTCACCAAAACTACAAAAAAAATTTAGCCGGGCATGGTGGCACGCGCCTGTAGTCCCAGCTACTCAGGAGGCTGAGGGCAGAGGATCACTGGAGCCCGGGAGGTTGAGGCCGTGTGAGCTGAGATCACGCCATTGCACTCCAGCCTGGGTGGCAGTAAGACCCCTGGGCGCAGAGAAAAATAAAAAGAAATGAAGATAGCAAATGGGGCAGACTTAAGCTCAGAGGAGGGAAGACCTAACTCATGAGGGATGGGACACTTGGAGCAAACAGAAGGTCCTGGGACCTAGAGGTTTCACGATGATGAACAACAGGTAAGTGAACCCTGAGCAGGACTGAATGCTGGACTTAGAGGACAAATATGCAAGTTCAAGACTTTCCCAAGATGACTCAGCTCAAAGTTAAGATCGGGATATGGCCATGGAAGTGGTTAGCTGAAGTGAAGCAGAAGCAAAGATCGCTGGAACGGAGGAGGTTGAGGGTAAGAAAGTTGGGAGTTCATCCACTGGGACTCTGAAATCACCCGGGATGGACAAGAGGAGGATGTGGGTAAGGTGCTCAAGTTCTGTGGGGGAAAATCTGGAGAAAGACAAGAGTACTAGGAGGAGTAGGGTGGTGGAGATGGGTGTGTACGCCTCAGAGGAGGAAGGGTTTAGCACCAAAGTGGAAGAACGATGGTTCAGAAGTGGCAGTGGGAAGCTTGGGGAACTCCTAATACCAGCCTGGAAATAGGGTGATGACAGAGGAGCAAAGCAACCTCCCCTGTAATGGGTATGACACCCCGGGGGACAAGCCCAGTTGCCCTTAGGATGAAGATCTAGTAGAATATTCTAGGAGGACAGAATGCTCCTTCTATTATCATTATTTTTTTTAGAGACAGGGTCTTGCTCTGTCACCCAGGCTGAGGTGCAGTGGTGCAGTCATAGCTTACTGCAGCCTCACACTGCTGGGCTCAAGTGATCTTCCTCCCTTAGCCTCCTAAATAGCTGTGATTACAGGTACATGCCACTGTACCTGGCTTATGTATTTTTTAAAAATTGAGATATAATTCACATACCATAAAATTTACCCTATTAAAGTATACAACTCAGTAGTTTTGGCATATTCACAGGTTGAATCTCTACTACAAATTCCAGAACATTTTCATGAAGAAACACTATACTCATTAGCAGTCGTTTCTCATTCCCTCCACCCCTAAGGATTTGTATATATATATATTTTTTTGAGATGAAGTCTCACTCTGTTGCCCAAGCTGGGGTGCAGTGGCACAATCTTGGCTCACTGCAATCTCTGCATCCCAGGTCCAAGCGATTCTCCTACCTCAGCCTCCCAAGTAGCTGGGATTAATGGGCATGTGCCACCATGCTCGGCTAATTTTTGTATTTTTTAGTGGAGACTGGGTTTTGCCATACTGGCCAGGCTGGTCACAAACTCCTGACCTCAAGTGATCTGCCCACCATGGCCTCCCAAAGTGCTGAGATTACAGGTGTGAACCACTGTGCCCGGTCAGAATTTGTACTTTTTAATACCTCATTTGCTGTCAGCAGGGTGGTTTAAATTTTGAACCCAGAAGGGCTGTCTACTAAAGATAAAGAAAGATGAGAAAAAAAGCACAATTAGCTTTTCCAAGGTTCAGGTGATGTAACAAGACATAGAGATGAAGATGGATGGATGGATGGATGGATGGATGGATGGATGGATGGATGGATGGATGGTTAGATAGACAGACTGATTCACAGATAGAGAAAGCGATTATTAGGTTCACACATCAAAACAAAGAGAAATGAGCCTAGGGAAGGTGGATCTTTAGAAGCAACACCTGAACCGGATTAAAAATGCATTCTTGCAGGAGTTAATGTTTTTATTTTCTTTGTGTCTCCTGTATCAATCATCTTCCTGTGCCCTTCCAGACATTTCCATTTCTGGGAAAACCAAGGGTAAAACGGGCAGGAGTTTTGGAAAATCCCTTGCTTTGGAAAACCATAAGACAGATGCTTGTTCCCTACCACCATCTCAGCTCCTTACAAAGAGTGGTGGTGGCTGGTGGAAGCTGAAGGAGGAGGTGGGATCCCCCCCGATCCACACAGCTGTGGTACCGTAGCCATCCTGTCACAGTCAGGGCAAGGGGGGAACCTGGGCAGTTGGCAGAAACACTGAGGGAGGCACAAGCCTCTAGGTGGATCTTGGGGGCCAGTGTCAGTAGAGGACCCTCCGTTGGCGTGCATTCTGTGTAAGCATCCTTTGCAGGGTGGGAGTGTTTGGCCAAAGAAAGGGGCTTCAGTAAGATTAATACAAATGGAGTGCAGCGATTAGTAATTTTCCTGAGGTCTCTTTTCTAAAGTAGGTTCCTCTTGCCCCATCCCTGATCTCTGTGTGATAACTTGTGGGGAATGTTGTTGGTAGCCCTCAGCTCTTTTGAATGTCTGCCACATGGAGTCCCATTTTGGGGTGGTCGGTCTAAGTTCAGAAGGGCCTTGACTTAGGGGGAGCACTGTTCCCATTCTGCTACACCTCAGGGCTGATTGAGCTTTTTACTCTCCTCAGAATACTGACCTCATAGGATTTCCAAATTTGAGGGGAGTTTTGAATTCACGTCTGTTTCTTTTTGAAATTACATATTACTAGTGAGAAACCAGAGAATCAGAGAGGTTAGGTAACTTGATCAAAGTCACCCATCCTCACTGGGTGTGGTGGCACACATCTGTAATCCCAGTTACTTGGGAGGCTGAGGCTGGAGAATCGTTTAAGCCCAGGATTTGGAGTCCAGCATATGCAACACAGCGAGACCTTGTCTCTACAAAACATAAAAGAATTGGCCTGGCATGGTGGTGCATGCCTGTAGTCTCAGTTACTCAGGAGCCTGAGGCGGGAAGTTTGCCTGAGCCCAGGAGTTGGAGGTTGCAGTGAGCTATGATCGTGCCACTGCACTCCAGCCTGGGCAACAGAGCTAAAAAATAAAATAAATAAATAAATAAAAAAAATAAAACAAAGTCACCCATCCAACTAATCCATAGTGACAGAAAGCAGGTCAGTGGTTATGTGGGGACAGTGTAGGGGAGGAGGCGAAGGTCAGAGGTGGTGCAAAGAAATTTTGGGGGATGATGGATAATTTCCCTATCTTGATTGTGTGTACAGTTTCATGGGTATATATATATGCCAAAACGTATCAAATTGCACACTTTAAATATGTGCAGTTTATTGTATGCCAATTATACTCCATGAAGCTGTGAACAAAAGGCTCCTATCTGGTCAGAGGCAGCGGAGGGACAAGGGCACACATCTTGTGCTTCATGGTCTTCACACCCTGCTAATCCCAGCACTGTCTTAAAACCAAAGCTTATTATAAGTCATAAAAGTACCTTTTCCCATACTGTCATTTTTTAAAACTCTGTATTTCTAAATTTTCTATAATAAAACATAATAATACCCTTAAAACAAGTAGCAAATGCCCTTCAGCAGTTCCAATCTGACCTGGTCCTTAGATGGAAGTGTACCCTACAGAATTGGGAAGGGGTGGGGAACAGAGAAAGGTGTGATTTGTTCTTTTTTTGCTATGTTCATCTCGAGCAATGCATGTGAAAAATATCTTTTCTGGATGCATCCAGTGAATTTAATTTAGGATAAAAAAAATTGAGAGGAACCAGGTTTCTATGATAGGACTGTGGTTTGTGGTGGTAGCTGGTGGTCCCCACTAGGTTGAAATAGTTTCTGAACAACCCCCAGATGAGGAAGAGGCAGGAAGCCGTCTAGGAAGTACCAACTCTTCTTTTTCTCCTTCTTTCCCTGATCAAACACCCCGGGCCACCAGGTTTGGCCAGCTTCCAGAGGTCCAACATGGCTTCTTTGTGGAGAATATGAAAGTGCAGAGATAAAGGTGGGTGTGTCCAACCGTCACTTCCCTTTATTGTTGAACTTGGGCTGACCCATGAGGTGCATAGAGACTCTGCCCAGCTGGCTTGATATGCTCAGCGTGGAAAATAATGCCCTTTGGTTTCCCACCAGAGTATGTCTTCATGCTGTATTGGCTACAAGGACCTAAGAAGAAACATTCATGCATCTGAAGGTTTTTCTCTCTGTATGATTTTTTTTAGAATTGCAAATGTAGTATACACTTACAGTACTTTCACACAAGACAATTAGATGAAACGTAAGCAAGGGTAGAGGATGGGCAGTGACTCCGGGAGTCAGATGAACCCGACACCATTTCTGTCCAGGTCAGGGCAGGTGTGGGAGGTGCTGTACCTGAGTTGTCCAAAGTGCTTGGGGACAGAGGATGAACTCTGAGACTGAGATCTGGGCGTGCACACTACCACCGACATTTAACCCATGTGCTGCCTCTTCACAGTGTGACTCCCCTGTGTCCTTTCCAGCCCCCAGAATTTTTGCCCTTCTCTGCCTCTGCGCTGCAGGAGGCTAACTCTAAAAGACTGCAGACCCATTGCCCTCTGGATTTGGGTCAAGACTGAACACTGGGAGGAAACAGGAGATGGAGGGCAGGAGGAGAGAGAGCCGGGGTATGTATTCTCTCAGGCTTTCTCTCTCCAAGATGACAGCCCCCCCTCCCAGGAGGGCTCTGGCTTTCCATCCTTAAATGCCTAGATAATGGATAACAGCTTCCCATGGTCGCTATTATATTGCCTGGGATCTTTAACATCCCTTAGTGGCTCCTTTAACCCTGCCACACTTCTAAGAAGTCCCTTCATGGAAGTCTTGGCCTGGCAGCGATCTGAAACATCCATCATGTCCAAATGAACTGTTTAAGTTTATGTTTCTTTTCCCAGACTCTGAGAGGGGCACAAAGGCAGGCAACATGTCCTTTTAAGCTTTAGTGCAGCGCTTGGACTGAACTAAATTGTTGGGTTGACTAGAGGTGTTGCGATATTTTATTGAGATGATCTTAGACCTGGACATTAAAGGGCACTGCTGCTTGCGTGTTCTGTCTGGATGAACACATGATTGTACTGGGATGAGGTTTTAGCCTACAGGGAACAAGGTCCAGGACAATGTAGATCACGTTGTACAATACCCAGGGCAGCATGACTCTGCTTAGGGTCTGAATCACACTCTTTTGTTGATAATGATGCAGAGGATGCTAGTCACAAAACTGATGATGATGTTGATGTTGATGATAATGGAACGTCCATTTACTGACTCAGTCAGAGTCACAGGAGGATTTAATTTTAGTACTGGTTTATTGCAAGGTACTATTTGCTTTTTTTGGTCAATTTTTTTTTTTTTTTTGAGATGGAGTCTCACTCTGTCACCCAGGCTGGAGTGCAGTGGCATGATTTCGGCTCACTGCAACCTCTGCCTCCCGGGTTCAAGTGATTCTCCTGCCTCAGCCTCCTAGGTAGCTGACATTATAGGCATCTGCCCCAATGCCCAGCTAATGTTTGTATTTTTAGTAGAGCTGGGGTTTTACCATGTTGGCCAGGCTGGTCTTGAACTCCTGACCTCAAGTGATCCACCTGCCTCAGCCTCCCAAAGTGCTGGGATTACAGGCGTCAGCCACTGTGCCTGGCCTGTTTTTTTTTGTTTTTGTTTTTTTTTGAGGCAGGGTCTCACTCTGTCACCCAGGCTGGAGTACAGTAGTGATCCTGAGCTCAAGTGATCCTCCTGCCTCAGCCTCCCCAGCAGCTGGGACTACAGGTACGCACCACCATGCCTGGCTAATTTTTTTTTTTTTTTTTTTTTTTTGACACGGAGTCTTGCTCTGTCCCCAGGTGGAGTGCAGTGGCCGGATCTCAGCTCCTGCAAGCTCCGCCTCCCGGTTCACGCCATTCTCCTGCCTCAGCCTCCCGAGTAGCTGGGACTACAGGCGCCCGCACCTCGCCCGGCAGTTTTTTTGTATTTTTAGTAGACGGGTTTCACCGTGTAGCCAGGATGGTCTCGATCTCCTGACCTCGTGATCCGCCCGTCTCGGCCTCCCAAAGTGCTGGGATTACAGGCTTGAGCCCGCGCCCGGCCGCCTGGCTAATTTTTACAACTTTTTTGTAGAGACAGCATCTCACTATGTTATCCAGGTTGGGTCTCAAACTCCTGGCCTCAAGTGATCCACCCAACTCAACCTCCCAAAGCATTGAGATGACAAGGCCAACCTTTTACTTGAGGTAAAGTTTACATTCGAGGTACAGTTTACATATAATTACATGCCCTAATTTTAAGAATAGTTGATGAGTTTTGGCAAACTTATTTCCCTGTTTAACCAGCACTCCCATCAAGATATAAAACATTTTTTATGTCCCTTTCCATTTAATCCCTGACCCAAACCCTCTAAATTTTTCTTTTCTTTTTTTACTTTTTTTTTTTTTTTTTTTTTTTTTTGAGATAGAGTCTCTCTCTGTCACCCAGGCTGGAGTGCAGTGGTGCGATCTTGGCTTACCTTGGCCTCCTGGGTTCAAGTGATTCTCCTGCCTCATTCAGCCTCCCAAGTAGCTGAGATTACAGGTGCCTGCCACCACACCCAGCTAATTTTTGTATTTTTGGTAGAGACAGGGGTTTCACCATGTTGGCCAGGCTGGTCTTGAACCCCTGACCTCAGGTGATTCTCCCGTCTCGGCCTCCCAAAGTGCTGGGATTACAAGCGTAAGTCACCATGCCTGACCCCTCCAAACTTCCTGACCTTGTGTCCAACAAACTCCTAGTCATCACCCTCAAATTATGTTAATCCTTGCCTCTGCACCTTTTGTTGTGCTGTTCTCTGTGAGGAAACTTTGTTTGCCCCTACACCTGGTTAACTTCCTATCTTCTTTAAGACTCCTCTTCCAGGAAGCCTTCCTGGTCTTCTCTTCCGTTCGGGCTGGGTGAGGTGCCTTTCCACAAAACCCTGTACTGCATTGGCTACATCTTCATTACACATAGATTTTATTTTATAACTTTTTTTTAAATATTCTTTTTCCACTTTAAACTCTGAGCTCCTTGAGACAGGAACTGGATCACATTCTTTTTTTCCTTTTTTATATTTGTATTTTTCTGGTCTTATTCTCATAGAAAGGACTGAGTCATATTCTGCTTTGAATTCCAGACTCTACCACAATGGCTGGCAAACAATATGTTTGTTGATTAAATAAATCGATGAATTAAATCAATTTTTTCCCCCCAGGACACGGGCATGAAACTTTGAATACCATGTTACATGACAGGCTCTTTCCGTTGCAAGAAACAAAGACTCAGATAATGTGGGAGGATTCCCGAAGACACCCTCGCCCTTGGGAAGGCACTGACCCAGCTTAATCTGAGGGGCTTGTCTGTGTCATGGCCCCTCCCGCTGCTCTCCGTTCAGCTTGTTTGCTTCCCTTTTTTTCTTTTCTTTTATATGTATATTTTTTTGAGACAGAGTCTCCCTCTGTTGCCCAAGCTGGAGTGCAAATCTCGGCTCACTGCAACCTCCACCTCCCAGGTTCAAGCGATTCTCCTGCCTCAGCCTCCCGAGGAGCTGGGATTACAGGCATGCACCACCATGCCCAGCTCATTTTTTTTGTATTTTTAGTAGAGATGGGGTTTTGCCATGTTGACCATGCTGGTCTCGAACTCCTGACCTCAGGTGATCCACCAGCTTCAGCCCCCCAAAGTGCTGGGATTACAGGCGTGAGCCTCTGCGCCCAGCCTGGTTGCCTCCCTTTTCTGATCGGCTGCTTCTGCTCACCTTTCATTTTGCCTTCCTCATAACTTCAGCTTGCGTTTGGTCTCAGCTTCCTGTGGCCCTGACTTTATCTGACTCTAGCTGACATTTGTGAAGGTAATAATCTAACAAGCTCCTCTCCGTTTTTCAGATCCACATCATGGTCCTGTCGTGTGGGGAACTGGCCTCTGGGTCCCATGCCCCGCAGCTCTGGTCCAGTGAGCAAAGGTGGGTCCCACAAAACGTAGTTGCTTGGAGAGCAGGGCCTGATAGAAGGGATGGGGAGGAGAGTGGCAGGCACTGAGGCCTCTCCTATCCTATTAGTGAGCAAAGCGCTTTGTATTCTTGCCTCTCTTTGCTCCTGAATAATTTTTCCCATCCTTCATTTTAGGAAAGCCACTTATCTTCTCGATGCTTAGGGTTTCTAGAGATAAGGGATGCTGAAGTTGGAAGGAACTTCATAGCTCATCTTCTTGGTCAGATCCCAGCATGTGCTCTGCATGACAATAGGCTCAAAAGATGCTTTATGAGAAAAAAAATCAAGATATTCCAGCATTTTCTTAGGATTTCAGCTCACACCAGGAGCGTACTTCTCAGTGGTTCCATTTGCTTGGCAGAATCTCTGGTCTTCCGCATGGATGGATCGCTGCAGCGTCCGGGGTCCTCTAAATTGGAGGCTCTGAATCAGGGATTCCTAAAAAGGCACAGGAGGGCCCAGGCATGAACCTCTTGAAATTGTTTGCAAACTTCAGTCAGTGTTGTGTGAATGTGTGTGTATGTGTGTGTATGTGTGTGTGTGTTCCTGAGTGTCCATAGTTTTCATCAGATTCTTACAGGTAAATGTCACCTGTGAGAATGGATAAGAACCACTGCTTTTTTTTTGAGACAGAGTCTGACTCTGTCACCCAGGCTGGAGTACAGTGGCTCAGTCTTGGCTCACTGCAGCCTCTGGGTTCAAGTGATTCTTGCGCCTCAGCCTCCTGAGTAGCTGGGATTACAGGTTGCGCCACTAGGCTGATTGATTTCTGTATTTTTAATAGAGATAGGGTTTTGCCATGTTGGCCAGCCTGGTCTCAAACTCCTGACCTCAAGTGATTCGCCCGCCTGGGCCTCCCAAAGTGCTGGAATTATAGGCGTGAGCCACCACAGCCAGCCAAGAACCACTGCTTTAAAGGGACATTGGTTGACTGTGCCTTTCTAAGGTAAACGCTTTCTTGTTTTCTTCCAACTTAAACATTTTATCTGCTACACTCAATAACCATCGAGTATGTTTAAGAGAAAGTGCTTTATGGTAGTAACTTAGAGGCTTCATCCTTGCATTTTTCTCATGATGAAAATGCTGACATAATGTGGTGTCAGTGTAGGTTCATCAATTGTAACAAATGGGCCACTCCAGTGGAGGATGTTGATCATGGAGGAGGCTGTGCTTGTGTGGGGAGAGGGGATATATGACATGTCCCTATACCTTCTGCTCAGTTGTGCTGTGAACCTAAAACTGCTCTAAAAAATAAAGTCTATTAAAATAAGCAAACCAGCCAGCTGCAGTGGCTCACTCCTGTAATCCCAGCACTTTGGGAGGCCGAGGTGGGCAGATCGAGTGAGCCCAGGAGTTTGAAACCAGCCTTGGCAACATAGTGAAACCCTCTCCACAAACAATTTTTGTAAAAATTAGCTGGGGGTGGTGGCGCATGCCTGTAGCCCCAGCTACTGGGGAGGCTGAGGTGGCAGGATTGTTTGAGCCTGAGAGGTTGTGGCTGCAACGAACCGTGATCACACCACTGCACTCCAGCCTGGGTGACAGAGCAATACCCTGTCTCAAAAAAAAGTTAAACAACAACAACAACAGCAAACCCCAATCAACCAACCAACTAACAGAAACACTAAGAACCAGAGAAGTAAAACATAATTCGCTCAATGCCAGACAGCTAGCCCGGTGAGCACTATAACCTTCCCCTCTTCCTTCTTCACTTCTTTGCTCTTTTTAAACCCACATCTTAGCAATTCCTGTGCTATTGGGTCAATAAATCGCCACCTCTAATTTTTTTTTTTCTAAGCATTTATTGAGGGCCAAGCACTGTGTTACACATCTCCTCATTAAAATGGTATAGCAACCTTTTCTATATGATCCTCTTCTATATAGCAACCTCATCTATTATGATCCCATTTTCCAATTTTTACTTTTGAGTGAAGGACATTGACACTTAGAGATTGTAAGGAACTTACCCAGGGCTGCCGGCTTGTTAATGGCAGAGCTGAAATAGGAAAGTCCATATTTTCCACCGCGCTGCATTAGTGAGGGCTCTTTGTGTCACTTCTCTGCATAACTCCGCCCCAAGTTAAATGTCTCGCTCATCCCACCAGGTCCCCCTCCTCCTCCTGCTCCTCCTCCCGGGGCCCTGCCCTGCGGGTCTCACCTACTGCTCCGCGGGGTCCCGGCGAGGGGCGGACAGCGCCCCCTGGCGGCAGGTGGGCGCCCGTGCAGCGCATGCTAATGAGCCCGCGGCACCGCTCGCGGATTGGCTGGCGCGGATTCCAGCTGCTTTCCAAGTCAGCGGCGCCTAGTGAGAGTCAGGGGGGCCCGGCCCGCGCCCTCCCCGCCCAGCCGCCTCCCCGTCGACGCCCAGGGCTGGGGCGAGCCAGGCTGCCTTTCGAACTTGGGGGGCTTCTCCTCTTGTCTCCCACTGGTGCTCTGGCTGTGAATCCCTCCAGGGGCCAAGATGACAATCCGACACCAAGGCCAGCAGTACAGGCCGAGGATGGCATTTCTCCAAAAGGTAACCCTGGCCCCTTACCTGGGCCCTGGGAGGCGGGCGGGGGACCGCGTCTGCGAGGCGTCCGAGGACACGTGGGGCAGGAGTGGAGGGCACCCCTTTGGGTCGATTTGTGCTGCTCGATTTTATTAAGTGACTTCTTTGCTGTGTGTGTCGATATTGATGACTATAATAATTAGGTTTTCGTGTGCCCTGCCTGTAGTGGAGAATCTGAAGCCAGCGCGGATGGTCTGCGGGAGGTGAAAACAACCTGTTACTCGGGAGAGGCAGGTTCAGTTCAGGCTGTGGCAGATTTGAGACAGCCTGCTGATATTGTTGTAAGACGACCAGATGTGACATTACCATTTTTGCCTTTTTTTTCTGATTCAAAACTGCACTATTTTAAAGTGTGTGTGTGTGTGTGTGTGTGTGTACACATAGCCCATGAAAACGGGGTGATTTGTAGGATAAAGGGCCACCTTAAAGAGCCCTCATTTGAGTGTGTCTATCTGTGCATCTCCCGCTGTCTTCGCTGGCGGCAGAAGTCCCAACCGTTTCGCTTCCCTAGTGAATGCTTTCCCAGACAAAGTGTCCGGGCACAGGGTGTGCACACAGGATGGACATGTGGGAGGTGGAATGCACCTGTGGGGTGATGTGTGTGGGGACAAAGTGGTTCATTTAGTTCTGAGCTTCTGAGATAATCACTGTCAGAAGAGATCTATGGAGGATTCGGTCCCGGGTCACGTCTTTGTCCTTCCTCCCACCCATAGCCACTTTTCACAGCCTAGTGTCCATCTTCTTAGGCTTATCTTGTTAAGTAGAATTAGTTGAATGTTTTGTGACGAGCTGGGCTCTCCCTGAGCCCCTGGAGCTCAGCAAATTGGTATAGTCGGTGACCACTGTCCTGATTTGCCCAGGACTTTCAGTGCTAAAACCGGGACAGTCCTGGGGACCCCGGGACAGTTGGTTGCATTTGGTCCACCTACTTCAAGATGCTCGTGCTCATCTCCTGGGTAGTAGAGGTGTGGGTATCATCCATAAAGCAGACAGGCTGGATGTTGTTTCCCTCAGAAAGAACCCTGAGAGCCTGTATTGCAGATACCAGTTACTAAAAGCAGAAGAAACTGCCTAAGTCGGCTATCTCAAAGCCACACATCATCTTCCAGGATTTACTCTAGGACTGCCTCCTCCCAGGCAGGACAGCTCTGGCTTGGGGGCTCAGAGAGTAATTGTCTGGAGATATTCAATTTGTTTATTGAATCTCTGGCATTCTTTTCCATCACGACTCTTCTCTAGTAGATTCTCCTCTCTTTACCTTGGTCTTCTAACTAGTGTCTTGGTCTCTAGTCTCTCCTCCACCCCAGGCTGCCCTCCTCCTCCCCAGCCACCCCTCCTCCACCCCAGCATCCTCTCTTCCACCCTAGCCTCCCCTCCTCCACCCAAACTCCCTCTCCTCCACCCTAGCCTCCCCTCCTCCACCCAAACTCCCCATCCTCCACCCCAGCATCCCCTCCTCCACCCCAGCATCCCCTCCTCCACCCCAGCATCCCCTCCTCCACCCCAGCATCTCCTCCTCCACCCTGGCCTCCCCTCTTCCACCCAAACTCTTCCTCCTCCACCCCAGTCTCCCTTCCTCCACCCTAACCTCTCCCTCCTACATTTCAGCTCCCCCTCCTCCACCCCAGCTCTCCCCCCTCCACCCACCTTTCCCTTCTGCACCCCAGCTCCTCTTCCTCCACCCTGTCTTCCCCTTCCTCTACCCCATTGTCCTCCTCCTCCCCAGCCTTCTCCTCCTCCATCCTAACTTACCCCTCCTCTACCCTAACCTCCCCTCCTGCATCCCAGCTCCCCCTCTTCCACCCCGCCTCCCCTCCTCCATGACATCTTTCCTACACACAGTTTTTTTCCCCCAAATCAATGGTGACCTCCTTGACCTGAAACCCTCCACTGGCTTCCCACATTCCCAGGATAAAGTCCAACCTTCCCCTGAGCACCCTGGCTACCCAGGATCCCGCTCCCACCATCTTCCTGGCTTTGCCTCCTGCCTGCCTGCCTTCCACACCTGCCCTCTGGGAAACAACAAAGCAGCCACAGGCACCCCTGGGCTCCTGCCTCAAAGACTTCCTTCCTTTTTAGGAACCTGTGCCCTTTCATGCCTCAGGGTCCGTCTGCTGGGAAAGTCCTTTCTCCCCCTCTCGCTTGCCAAGCTCCACTTCTCTTCCCATGCCCAGCTCAGCTACCCCTCGTCCGTGAAGGCTGGTTCTCCTAATGCCCCTGGGCAGGACAGCTCCCTTCTCTGTGCCCTACAGACCCTGCCGCACCTCCAGCATTGCTCTTTCCCTAGACCTTGTGCTGGTAAGGGCCTGTCTATTATCCTGTATATCTGTGTATGTATTGGTCACGTCACAGAGCTCCTTGGAGCAGGGGACAGAATAAAGTTCTGCAGAACAGGCCTCAAGAGCCTGTGCCAGGCGATCC